CTAGGCTAGAAATCGAAAAATATATCTTCATCCGGTGATGTTGGAGATGGAGACGCCAGAGATACGGCATCTCTTTGTGCAGATGCACGAGAGATGCCGGTTCTGGTGTATCCCGCATCTCCCGCGGCATCTCTGGTATGCCCGATTTGTTTGATATGTGACACTGCTGTTGATAAATTGTCTATTTCGAATTGAGGCACTAATATAAGTCCTCTCGCACACTGGTGAAATTCCTTGCTGCACTCATCGTTGCACAAAGCCCTGCCCTCCCCTGCACACCCAGCAGTAATTCCGCGGTACCCATGGTTGCCCGATATACTTACAGTCTGCTCCATAAAGAAAGGTCATTGCTATCGCAGGTAATGAGTAGGCTATCTTGAATAACTATGATACGGTCACACGCCAGTTTCCAGCAACTCATCTCCGTATGCTACCGAACTGCCTACCTTCACTTTTTCCATTACTTAAATAACTATGACTATTCATCAGATTGCTAGTAACACTCCGGAGGCTGCTTGAAGCATACTTCAGTGTGCGGCTCACATCCTACAAAAGAAAACTAACATCCCAGGATACTTTCTGGGTTTAGGTGAAAACGCAGCAGTTATTGGAAGGTGATTATGTAATAAATATTGTGACCTTCCACTTTAGGGCTATCAATGAATGAGATGAGGATCGAGTTGATTGTGTACACAGATACCCTTTTTGGTCGCGGCTCTGCGGGGGACGCTTCCCAGTGAGACAAACCTTTGAAAATAACGCGTTAAAACCAGTTTAAATTTCGTTAAAACAGCGTTTTAACGGTAACCAATCATTAAAAAGCCGTTTTAACGATTTCTCGAGTGCGTTTTAACGCGTTACAGTATTTCTGAGTTAAAATACGTAGACATCTTTTTGATTTATGCGTTTTTATCCGTTAGCAACTCTAATTTCAAGAGATTTAACGCTTTTTTCCTGAACTGGTTTTGCTACGTGCAACGTTTACTAGATGAGATGCGTTTTATTAGTTTCCAGTGAACTGAGTTTATTGCAAAGAGAGGCTAAGGAAAGCTATAATGGACACAAAGGCATAATCATTTGAGAATGTTCGATCTTTTCTATTAATCAGATTCTTATTTTTTCATATCATTCTCGCTTATTTTAATGCGTGCCAAAACATAAAATATCAGAAAAGATGACGCCAACCCACATGCACTGCAAACTATTAGAGAGAGCGTCATGCCTTCACCCTCATCGAGAGAGACGAGATATGACACCCTCATGCCCTATATGCCCTATATGCCTTATATACCTTATATGCCTTATATGCCCTATATGCCTTATATACCTTATATGCCTTATATGCCCTATATGCCTTATATGCCCTATATGCCCTATATGCCTAATATCTCCATTGTGTCCAGTTTCCTCAATATCCCGAATTTCCCTGGTATCTTCGCTTTATGATTGTCGTCTATCGATTTGGTAAAAATGAATCTCCTGGAAATCGCTATAACGCATCAAATCTGTTCTAATGGAAAATTTCTTCGCATGTTCTAGTTTTCTATGCTTAGTTCTCTATGTTTTAGATTATTTTCACTTGATATCAACTCGCCCGGTTCTACAAAATTAAAAAATCTCTTGTTTCATGATAAATCTTACCACCCCATAATACACAATGAATCTCTTGCTGCTGGTACATTTTGAAGAGTCTTTATTTATCCAGCACGATGAGTTGAGGAGAATAAATGTGAAAGATTTACTCGATTTCTCACTTATTCAAATTATATACATATTCAATTCGCCGGATCACGATAAGCGCATTATTTTTGCAGTGAACTGATTTTTGTGATAATCTTAACTGCTGTTTGCTACTCGTATTTAATTATGCTTTAAGTGCATATCTATATTTTCTCGAATATAGATAAATAAAATATGAGTACTTTACTTTTCAGCGGTCACAACATTTTCATTTAGCCTTTACCTTGTTTCAATATTTCAGTTCCATTTATAATCATGCCCTGTGACGGTCTCTGGTCACGACGTGATTCACCAGAAATGGCTATAGTCGTGATGTCACCCTTTTCTCAGGAAAAAACGTATTGCAATCAATTTTTATGCATCGTTCATTTCCCACCCAATAAATTTTAAGTAGTGAAATTCGACCTTGCTATTTTCGAGTAAAATTTAAGACAATGTGACAAGAACTCTTATGATCTGTTTGAAAAATAAATTACGAGAACATTGTTTCGATGAAAACATTACGAACAAATATATGGAGTAAAAAATAGCTCTGAACAAAATGACGCAGTCACACTTGCACCGCTCAGCAGAAGCAGTAGTGATAGAGATTTCTGATATCATTCACCAACTAAAACAAATCATTTGCTGTTGGACCGATCTTGGGTATCTAACAAAAGATCTAAAAGCTGTTTCTTATAAAGGTGATATACGAATATTCTGGACTAATAATTCCCTGTTCAATATAAGAAACAAGGATATAATTTGTCTGACCGAAAAATGATTGTCGTTTAATCGACTAATTTTGGAAGTCAACCTCATTTTGACCTTCGGTCGAAAAACAATATCGAATATTGAGTAAGATGAAGCTAAACATCACACTCGCCCTGCCCATGACTACTCCGAGACTGAAAAAACAATTCAATTTTGCGTGAGTACTAAAACCTTCTTAAGACAGCCTTACTCAACTCCAGTCCGCCTCATGGTTACACCACTACTAGATCAAGCGTTCTTTTTTTTTGCATTCTGTTTACCGCAGTCAGGCACTCGATAAAAAAATCAAACATTTTCCTCGAAACGATGTAATAATGCTTTTCATTCGAAGGTAAGAAAGCAGCTCCTCGTCGCTTCAGTGTGCCCTCCTTCCATTGTTGGGGAAAAGCTCACTGAACCTGTTAAAGCAGTTTCTCACGTCGAATTCCGATCAAAACATAGTGTTTCGGCGTTAATTACAGTTTGTGTGCCTGCTTTATAAAAATACTCTGCAAAGATAGTAACCACAGGTACACAAAAAAAGATTATTCCGCTCACTTTCTGGATTCGATCACATCTGATTGAGCCTCCTTCTGCAAAATATAAAGTTTCTTGATAAACATCCGCCGCAATGCCTTTTTTGCACTCGACCAGTTTCTAAATCGTGAGAGCACACTGCTTTCTGAAAGATTGTAGAGACAAACTGAACATACAACCAATTTAATGTTGGTGACCGTATTTTTCAGAAAAGCGACAAAGAAAAAACGAATCTCATTGAGTGAATAAAACCAAGAACACAAGTCAATGTCCACAAAAACCTGAAAAAAACATCTAATGGGTCGCAGAAAAATCGGGAATCAATCGTATTCTTGATCCAAACCTTTTCAAGAAAAATAATACGTTGAACCTTATTCATTATGTATAAAGACATACACTCTACAAACAGCGTTTTAAGCCATTTAGAAAGAAAGTCAATTTCAAACTTCGCTTTCCTTAACATCTTTCAGAGAGCTTTCTTTCTGAACTTCTCATCAATTTGTCACTAAGACAGAAACGAAAATTTTCAGGCTAATGGGGCTCACACTCGAACCGTCAATCCTGATCTACATACGGAAGCCATTTTCTGGAACCATGATTTCTATTGGTCCTCTGACCCACCAATCAGACACCGGACAAACAGACGAATTTCCGTTGTGACAAGACTCATCCTTTCAGGATTGAGAATAATGCCTTTTCAGTTAATGGTATTAGATATGAATGTTAAGCTTTTTTCCAATATTTTTACTTGTTCATTTAAAATTATAGATGGTATGTTCACGACATTATATTGATTCATAGTTTATTTATTATTATTATTGAAGTTGTTCTTTATCTTATTTATTATATTTTTCTTGTTGATATTTCTTTTCGGTCTATCCATTCGAGATCTAATTGGGGATTTCTGTGTAATTGAATGCCTTTGATGTATGATATAATCTTAGTTGTTTATATATCCAACTTAATGTGTTATTTCTTAATTCAATTATACTACTACATAATATTATTTTGTTTTCATAACAAAATCTTTCGGTATTATATTTTGACTTCTACATATATATAGTCTTAAAAACTTAAGGTGCTCTCCAATTATTGTTTTTTTATTTATTAATTTCTCTAGTTGTTGAATTAGTGTCTCTCACTAGAGGATTTTGTAATTTGTGAGAATAAGAAAAGTCTTAGTAAATCTGAATTAAAATTATTTCTCTTCCTCTTTATAATCTATATTAATTATAACAAAAAAGAGAAACAATTCTATGTTACATTTATTAATACTTTCCATATGTCACAAATAAAAACAAATTTCAGGATAAATAATTGAGCTCACGAAGGCGCATGGCTAAAATTTTTCAACTTGAAGACCATATTTCAGTAGTTTCAGGAGAAATTCTGGGTATATATGTTTCATCTTGGATAACTGCAACATCGGGCTTTGCTATGGAAAGTCAAGTAAAAAAGTACAGGAAAAGCATTGAAATATCGTCTTCACAGGTGAATCCTAGTCTTTAACTTATAAAGTTGATATGTAACAATATATTAACCCGATTGGTGAACAACTGAAATAGTTTGACTATGCTTAGGACTTTGACCAAGAACTTTAAGTTTTACTTTCCGAAGCAAAATTCTCCTTTACATTTACTCTCAATACAAGATAAAACTCCCTACTGTTTTGATACCTAACACCGCTGGTGCTGGCGTTGTAGAACTTGTAGTGCTTGCAGTTGTTGTTGAACTGACGACAGTTGAAGCTAAGGAGGAACCGGAGTCTTTTAGTTATAGTATATATAGTCCTGTCCAAATGAACTTACTTGTATCATTAACCGAAGAGCACAAACTAGTCCAAGACAATGGCAAACATACATTATAAGGCGTGCAGCACGAATTCACAACGCATACATACGAGTTCGACGCGCATCCGCCGGTTACATTATCGCACTGCTCAAGCATGGAACATAGACTTCCTGGAGCACAGTAGCTCATATTAGTTGCCGTGCGATAGTCATAGCATGGTGTCAACGATGTACGACAAGTGCTGCTGTTGTTATTGTTATTTGAATAAGTAATACACAACGGTAAAGCACAATTGGCTGAAGGTTGCCATGCTGAATGTGCCAAATTGGATAGTGTGAATTGAACACTCGAGTTCTCCAATGAACAAACATAGTCAGATGCATATGTCGTTGGACCTGTTAATTAGTCGTGCGAATGAGTGCAAAACGTATCCGGGCACAAATAGACAAACCTTTTACAGCCAAGAAAAAAAACACAAAAAAGAAGCAGTGAAACAGCTGCATGACTACTACATTATGCTGCATCGCAATATTTTCTGTCAGTGCTCGATTCTGGTGTCTTCGCTTGCTGTTTATATAAATAATAATTTCTTACTTCGCATTTTCTTTTTTCTCTTCGAGAATTTTTAATATTCACTCATACCGAATCAATCAATGACATTCGACAGAACGTGTAAAATAAGCTTATAAAACACTTTTGGGTTGCCACTATTTCAGCAAAACCTTTTCTGAAATGTTTACGTAGTGTGAGAATGTTAGTGTGGGGTGAAATTGTAAGTGTTGAGTTTGGTGATTTCAGTGTAGAGTTCACAGCAGTGCCACATTCACACTCAAGACTTGGAGGAGCATTGCGAAGATCTTGATAAAGAACATTCCAGTCATATAAACCAAACGGCATAATAAAGGTTGTTTTAAAACAATCTTTTTCATCAATATGGAATTGCCAAAATCCATATTTTCAGTCAACTTTTGAAAACAACTATAATCTGCACGTAATATTTGAAATGCTAATTTCATCTTACGAATAGTCCAGAATCAAGTAATTTACTAATTTTTAAATGCATTTCGAAATTTGTAGTAGTATTATCAGAATAACCTTTTGAAACAGCTGAGGTATGTGGATGAATAACATGGGAAATTTTTGTTTACGCAACTGTATATATATACTTATCTCAAAAAATAGACTTCACTTTATATTATAGCGATTAACTTGTATTTTGTTGAACGGGATCAGTAATAAGATATAATCGATTTTTGAATACCTTGTTCAGTGGTAGTAGGTGAAGATGGTGTTATTATAATAGTTAGTTGTTTTTCATATATTATTGGTTCATACTATGAGAGTTTATTGGTAAAGTCTTGGGTGTGAGTGTTGACTTTTGTCATATGAGCACTCATATCCTCACACAAGCCAACTTCTAACAGAAATATTATCAGTCTCAGTGGGAAAACTGCCCTGGTCGACCTTGATATCTGTTTCAGTACATAATAAGTAAGTTGCAAACTTTTGTTTTTTTTCCGTCATAATGCCTAATAAAACTAGAAAAAAACTATTTATAAATACTTATTATTTAAAATTAGAAGATATTTGCAGCAATTATAATAGCGTAAAGTTATTGTCAATAAAACACAATAGTGAATGCGCATTAGTCAAAAGCGTATAATGAATCACAAATTCAGCTCATATAAATTATTAAAAAACAAGGCAACATACAACAGTGACCTTGGTGAATTAAAATTTCATCAATTCCAAACAAAAGCACTACAGCACTGATTCTCTGAAAATCAAAATAAATCTAGAGGAAAACAAACATTAAATTTAACATTCCAACCTCAAGGCATATCTAAAAACAAATCTTCACAGATTTTCTAGCTTGAAAATTAATTTCCCGTTGTATCCACCCATTGAAAGAACTATTGGTAACACGATCGATGATCTCAGTTGTACTCTCAACTTTTATTTTGCGTAATTTGATACTCATTTGGCTATCGATTCTCTTCGGTATATAATAATAATAAATAATGCATTGTTCATTTATTCCATTGATCCTACCAGTCCCAACTTTAAGAGGAATAAAGTAGACACCGGTATCGAACAATCGTACACGTGAAAATTGACCTGAAGTAATTATGCATTCACAGATTCAAAGTATATTTGGTATCAATGCTTTGAATATACCCTGAAAGCACCTGATGCACATTTCTTGTTGGGGGTTGTTGCTGTTTCACAATAATCTTCATTACAGAAATACATATCCCAAGTGTAGGGGTTGATTCTATAGGATAGTTTGCATACGTCATTCACCATCTTCTGTTAGTTTAGCTTGAAAGAAAAATAAATTAAAAGTACAATTCAATCATAATTTGTCTTACTGATGGATGTTACATCTGAAAATGGAGAAACTGGTGGATCTTTGTCAAAGGTTCCCAAAGAAGAAACAGTTTGTATGAGACTGATAAATCAATCAGCAGCTAATGTAGAGTTGTCAAAATTGCATTCGAGCAATACGTGTGAGTAAATGATGACTGCATAACTATGAACTAAATGAAAGTATCCCGAATCATGTTGTACGCTTTTTGTTACTTAAAATTTTACAAATCAGGAAAATATGTATTTGTCGCAGCATTTCTTTTATTTTACTCGAAAACAAGCAGATTACTTCACCTGCGTTTCATAGTGCACTGATACTTTATTTTAAAACCTACATTATCTCTCGTTCAAGAAAAACAAAATAACATCTTCTTCTCGAGGACTTATCGATGCATAGAAACATTCAGGTGAATCTGTTGGAGATACTTTTACAATTTGATTCAAAGCTTATCGTCAGCAGCAACTGAGTTGCGTCCTATCCTTTTTCTGTCTACTATACACCGTGCTTTTAATCAAGGTGACTTCAGTCTTATCAAATAGGATGTTGATTATAAGAAAATGTTTTTAGAACGCTACTTTCGATGACTCTTTTAGTGTACTCAAAAACAGTTAATATGTGCTTATACAATTGTCAAGGAAGAGCAGCACAAAAATTGTGTATTCCCAATGTTGAATAATTCGACGATCATATTTCAAAAAGATTATAACATTTTATTTTAATCAAAGCATAAGATTTTATGTTTGCTTTTCCAAGATGACGATGTTTTGTATTTATTGATTAATTGTACTCTCTGAATCAATAACATGCATAAAGAAAAATGAATTAACAACGTTTTGAAACAGTTCGTTTATCTTATGAATACAAAATTACATCATTAACTAAAATTTAAAGTATTGGCATAGAATTGAATTTTCTTTTGTTTCTTGCCTTTTAATCAGCTAATTTTGATCAACAATCATTTATATTATGTTTATCAAGTTTAGTTGATTTTCATCTTGTTTTTATCATTTACAATTTAATATTATCCTCCAACCAGTTTTGAATGAAGTGAAAAATAAGTTGAGACACAATGTTACAAAATAAATGGACTATTTTACTTATTTCCTATATAGGTGAACTTGTTTTATAGGGTTACATGAATTTCGGCCCACGGAATTTTCGGGCCGGACTTTCGGCCCGGTCCGAAAAAATCTCCGNGTCGCTTCGCTCAGTACTACGACGCTTCGCTCGGTACTAAAAGAATCTAGAAACCAATTCTCAAAAAAATTCGTTTTTTCTCCGAGTTTAATGAATTTGTATAAAATTGGTCCGAAAGTCCGGAGAATTTTCGGGCCGGGCCGAATTTCCTTTCGGACTTTCGGACCGGCCCGAAAAATCTCCGGAATTTCGGACCGGGCCGAAAGTCCGGCCCGAAAATTCCTTGGGCCAAAATTCCGGTCTCCCGTTTTATATTGACTTTAGTCTTTAATCAGCAATTTAGTTTATCAAATGATAATGATAAATGAAAGCTAGCTATGATATTCATATAGCAAGCTACTCTACAGTGAATGCAAAAGAACAACGGGTGACAGGGACGAGTGATATTATCATCTCTGCATTGATATCCACATCCACGTCCAGCCAGTGATGAAAATGTGACCGAAGCGGGCGAAAAACGAAAGTGAGTAAATATTATTGTTATTAAAGCATACAATTGAAAAATTCAAGTTCAACAGCAGAGCAAAGTAAAGAAAATTTCTCCACAACTCCATCGTTGATTCGCATTTTTTCCGTGAAAAAGCATTATTTTGCTTTCTGACGTCCTTATGGGCTGATTCTCAGACTGCAGAATCGCAAGAACATACTTTTATCGATACATGTGGCTTCCATAACTAAAGCTAATCGATTGTGCATGAATAATACTCATCAAACAACGATTCAAATTCTGCATTCTTTTCTCGTTCTGTTGACTTCCTAGTACCCATATATCCGCGAAATTTCATGTGTTTCTCACAAAAGTAATCATTTGAGTACTGAGAATACGATTATTTCAATTAAAGCTCGCATAGAGTGTGGGTGTACAGTGGTGTGTAGCTTGTGTAAAGTAGATCCAAAGCCGTAAATTTCAGCGATTTAGTAGCCCGATTAGTCGTACGATTTTCACTTAACTACTCACAATGGGTAATATTATGAGAAATCACATCATATCATTCATCTTGTTGTCAAGCTATATTAGTAGCTCTATCTGTGTCCATGGTCAAGCTATATGGCACTGTTATTCGCACTTTTTCTATAGACGACTTCTGTGACATGTTTATTTCGCCCTTTTTTTTAGAACAAGAAATTTAAAGAAAATGAGCTTGAGAAGCCCCTATGATAGGCAGTCTGACGCCATCTACCTATTTCGTCAAAACCGTATCGTTGTTTCACGAATCTTGATTCTGTTGGAAAATTTGACAAAAAATCATAATTTTTGACGATATATCGCGATTTTGATCAGATGTATCCGTGCACAACTTGTAGAGTGTGAGTTTACGAGTACTTTGCCATACACGTACACCAATTTTGACTCAACCTGAGTCATTCAAAGCAAAAAGCAAGTTCACATATATAAAAACTTGGAAAAAATGACGTCACATACAATTGCCCTAAATAAATAATGACTCTATTCAGCGTGTAATCATAAAAGCTATTCTCTATCTTCAGATCTTCATCCTACTGTAGCATTACTTTGATTCAAATCTAGATTAGGATGGCCATTTAGATTTCACACTACTATCTATCAAACTGATGTCGATATGATCAAAAGCTTACCATCACTTTGTTCCTCACCGTCATCAATAATAAAATATGTACATGGAAGAACAACACGATCATTGTTGTTACGAAACAGGATAGCTATTATTCTGGAAACTAGATTTAATCCTGTAAGGATAGCCGCATGCAAGACACAGTCTCTATTCCCAATTCCAATACTGAATCAAATACCGTTGGATCATCTCTTGACAAGTAAGCCTGACCGCACGGTAGAGGCTCGGTGCTACTTTCACACATCCTGCAATAAGTCTTCAATATATGAAAAGTTTACCAACAACGCTGTAAGAATGCCAAAACATCCAAAACTGAATAAATTTGTACACGAAAAATCATTCAAGAGTTTGGCTGAGTCAGTTGAATTTCACGAAGAAGCTTTAAATAACGGTAGATACATCAAAGGGTTCTTTACCAGTGATGATATGACCTTAAAAGCAGCTCATGAAATTTTAGCTGGAAATCCTTATGAAACGTTTTTAACTGATTTGTTACTTAAACCTCCTTCACAATCCATTCGTGAACAGCGATCACGTGAGATTACATTGTGTGCTATTGAAAATTTTCCAGAATATCTTCCTGAATATAATAAGTATAAAAATGAAATATCATTGGTTTCAGTAGGTGGACCAGCAGCACTGGATACTTCCCTAATTGCCAGCATTAATAGCAATATGAAGAAGATGCAACAGAATATCTATATATCTGGTCCCTTTTCTGAAAGTAATCTGGCTTACTCTGCATTGCAACTTCATGTACGACATGGAACAGCTTTAAATGCAGACCGACATTTAACAGGACACGCATTAATGTGGCCATTTTTAGTGCGCAGTGTCATGGGTTGTCCGATAGAAGAAGCATTGCACCCTGATTTTCGAAAAATCGATATGAAATTTTCTAGTATTACTCCAGAGAAATTGAATATTTATCTTCGAAATGAGTTCAATTGGTTGTGGCAAGCTGTACGCTATCGATTCGGTCTTATGACTGAACACGATCTTAATCGTCTGGAGTCAGCACTTTCACAAGATTTACTTCATCGAATTGAACATGTTATCGGAGTGAATCTCAGTAGTAATGCTAACAGAGACCCAAAGCAATCTATTTCCATTCATGTGGACTTGACTCAAGAGGGAAGCGAAGCAACACGCGCTGAAAATCGACTAATGAAAGAAACTGTTGGAATCGAATCTGAACCCCTTGATGATCATGATAAGAGTTTTTTTTTTGGTGAACAAAAGAAAAATGTTGTTCAAGCAACTCGATACCCAACTGATGGCAATTTATTTCTCGAAGCTCAATGTATTGAAGAGAACATTATTATGAACAATGGTGGTCAATGTTTAAAACAACATATATCGCGCATTCTTTTCGCTGAAGATAAAAGTCTTTCTGGCAAAGCTCGCCTAGCTGGAATAGTCACAGAAAGTGGCCAGTTCATTTATGCCTCTCATTTGCATTTAAGCCCAGGTTATAAAGCTAAATTCAAGTTTGGTACAGCAAAAAAGAGTACATTCTATCGAAATCTGACTAATAAGTTAAAAAATCAATTTAATATAGACCCTCCGGTCCCAGGACATCATCTTACTGTTGCGACTGGTACTTCGATAAATGCAATAATGCGGAATGATTCTCATTTGAAAAGAATCATTGCTACTTACGGAACTACGCCTCAATATGCAGTAACAAACAGCCATTGGACCATGTTGGCTAAAAACGAAAACTATATCTTGATGCGTATTACAGGTGGTGGTACGACTGGTGAAGAAAACTATAATCCTGCTTATTTTCTTAATCTGATAGCTAATACTGAACGTCTTTTTGGTCCGGAAGCTCTTGTTGGTATACTGTCTACCTATGGATGTCCGCGTAGTATAAATGCTCGCAATTCTACAGAGTTTTTCAAAGCAAACAATGTATTGATATCGTATGGTAAAGGTGGCACAGGAAATACTAAACGGCATGCTGAAGCAGTAATTGCACTACTCGAATTAGGTTTTGACCAAACTGTAACTGATCTTTTCGAACACTGCTCAACTTATGACGGAAAGTCAATGACACAAGTGATCAAATACATTCACGAAAAATCCAAAGATATGCGCTTTATCTATAGTGGGGACGCTCACATCAATCGTCGTTTAGGATACGACGGCAGGCTAACCAACGGCGAAAATTTATCTTTGTTATGCTTTATTATTTTGCTATTTGGATTATTTAGATCTATGCTGAGTGCTTGATCTTTAACATTCACAAGAAGAAAAAAGACCATGATCAACATAAAGAGAGAAAATTCTTGGGTGTGGGTATGGATATAACCGTTTTCAAAACACGGAAAAGTCACCATCAGTTACAGTCAAACTCACGTCCACACTCACGCCAAATTATTCTTCTTAATTTGCAGAGTACTGTAATAAAACTTGTCCTATGAACACCTATGATGTGTAGATTGAATTCTATAAAATTTGTTTCGAATATTTTATTTATTATCTGCTGTTTTCCAACGATTAAATCAAAGAATCAAAAAAAGAAAATACAGGCATGCTAAGTTAGCATGGACCACACTGTATGCAACTCTATCCAGTGATCACTGACTCTACTCTCAGTGGGATATAATATCTTTAGAGATCACAGAAATAGAGCTCAGCTTCGTGTTCAGCTTCGAAAACTGGATAAGAACAGTTATTTTTGAATGGTTTTGCGTTTGTATCTAGCAGGATTACGATCGTAAGCAACCTCATGAATTTATAAGAGATATATGATAGATACAGGCATCAGTATTTTCATAATAAATCATCAATAGTAGTAGCTATCGAGTTCGGGTTTTTACCTTTCGATAGTCTTTTTGACTAGCTACAAAACCAGGCATTTGAGAAACCCCACAAACTGTTGGTCATCTGGAACATATCGAGGCAATTTGGTTTTTAGATGGAATGACTATCATTTACCACAAATAGAAATCCACAGACACATCTATACATCATATCCACACTTGTGGTGAATAAAACAAATATGACCNATCGCTGTTGTTGAACAAAAACAAGCTACTGACGATGTAAGTTATTTTTTAAGAGAAAAAACAGTAATGCAAAAAATTCTTTCCGTTGATGCAGCAGAAGTATTATAAATTTTCTTTTAGCCATCAATTTTCACTCAGCCAAAAGAGAAATGGGTGGTGATGATAGTTAAGAATTCATTTCTACGCAATCTTTTCATTGAAGATATTGATTTCAAAAAGACGAGCAGAGAAGAACAAGAGAAATTCGAAGAGGAAAAGAAACGTCTTGATAATGATTCAGTCAAGAAATGTCCAAAATGTCAACAAAACTACATACCATCAAAGACCAATCATGGCAATTGCCATTATCATGATGCGTTTGTCTATGATGCGAATAACCATTGCAAATTAACTCGTGAACAAGCGCAAACAATGACGCAAAAATTTAAATTGATAACAAGCAACAGTGGTAGATCTGTGGAATTACCAAAATTAATATGGGGCTGTTGTTTGGGTTTATATGGACTTGATCCACCATGTCAAGTGGGCAGCTGCGGTTTGCCCGAAGAAATTAAAGGACAACCAATCGAGCCAGACCAAGATCTAATGGCACTCGTTCAAGATCTATTTATGAATAATAAAGCAGCTGAGATAAGAATCAAAGATTTTGCCTGAGAGAGAGAGAGAAGCGCAGTCGTAGGGATCAGGGAATGACTATCATTTACCACAAATAGAAATACACAGACACATCTATACATCATATCCACACTTGTGGTGAATAAAATAAATATGACCCCTTCTGGTGACCAAATAGGGATTTTTGATTTAGGGATTTTTTTTTATACAATATCTTGTTCAAGTCACAACCGAACAAGGTCCCAGTTAGGGGTTCATCAATACCAGTATACTGGGTACTGGTAACACTGTTGACCAGAATCATCTCTCCGAGTTTCTAATAAGAAGAATTACGTTTCGAAATGATTCGAATGAATATTGAACATGTATGATTCTGGTAATCACAATCAGCTCTAAGAGTTTCTGATAAGCGAAATTACTTTTCGAAACGATTCTAATAGATATCGAATATGTATGATTCTGGTTACCAGAATCACCTTTCGAAACGTAATTCTACTTATCAGAAACTCTTAGAGCTGATTGTGGTTACCAGAATCATACATGTTCAATATTCATTCGAATCATTTCGAAATGTAATTCTTCTTATTAGAAACTCGGAGAGATGATTCTGGTCACCAGTGTTACCAGTACCCAGTATACTGGTATTGATGAACCCCTAACTGGGACCTTGTTCGGTTGTGACTTGAACAAGATATTGTATAAAAAAAATCCCTAAATCAAAAATCCCTATTTGGTCACCAGAATGGGTCATATTTGTTTTATTCACCACAAGTGTGGATATGATGTATAGATGTGTCTGTGGATTTCTATTTGTGGTAAATGATAACCAACCGAAAATACAAGTAATAGTAGTAGTTTATCTCATTAATTGATGTTACATCTGATAAAGGAGCAACAGGTGGACTAAAGTCGATGGTACTAGGACCAAGATTAGTAACAACTAACACAGCATTCGTAAAACAATGGTCATCTATGGTAGAGTTGTCAAAATTACATTCGAGCAATATTTGTGAGGAAATGATGACTGCATAACTATGAACTAAATGGAATTATCCGGAATCGTACTGTTTGATTTTTGTTATTTAACATCTTACCAATCAAGAAATAATTATTTGTCGCAGCATTGTTTTATTTTGCTCGAAAACAAGCAAATTACTTTACTAGTGTTTCATTTTTTACTGATACTTTACTCTGAAAGCTACATTATCTCTCGTTTAAGAAAAAAATAACTTCTTTTTCTCGATGATTTATCAATGCGTAAAAATATTCAGGTAAATTTGTTTGAGACACCTTTACATTTTGATTCGAAGCTTATCATTAGTAAAAACTGACTTTCGTCATATCTTTTTTTCTGTTTGATATCTACTGTGATTTCAATAAAGGCTACTGAAGTCTTATCAAGTAGGATGATGGCTATAAAAAAATGCTTTTGGAACTTTACATTCGATGACGCTTTTGCTGTACTCAAGAGCAATCAACATGAAGTTATACAATTGTAAAGGAAAAGCAACACAAAAAGCGTGTATTCTCAATGTTAAATAATTCGCCGATCATGTTTGAAAAGATTATAATGTTTTATCCATTGAGAGGGATTCAAACACAAAATTTCATCATTGACTAAAATTTTAATTATTGACATAGAATTGAATTTTCTTTTGTTTCTTCCCTTTCAATTAGTTAATATTGATCAACAATCATTTATATGATTTCGTTATGAAGACAAAAAAAAGCTTGCGTTATTTATATGAATAACATAGTTTGAGAAGCCGTCATCAAATGTGTAAGATAATTTTAATGTTCATCTTGTTTTTATCATTTCTAATCCGAATTTATTCTTTTCTATCTCAAATTTCTAAAAGTTAGATAAAATTAACAAGTTGATCAATGGTTTTACATTTATTTTCCAACCAATTTTGAATGAAGCGAAAAATAAGTTGAGACACTATGGTATAAGATAAACACAAATTTATTAGATATACTCTTTTCAGGAGATTTTCACAATTCTTTGCTATCTTTGAAAGCAAAATCAAGTCAATTTATTGGTTACTGTTTTGATAAATTCGATGTTTATTACATAAAAATTCAATAATATGATATTCGATTTCATTTTCTTCACTATTGCTCTGTAGTCGATTAATTATTGTCCACTGTTTTTCCATACGTTCAAATATTCGAACTTGATGTGTACGTGTTTTTAACATATTTCCAATAATAATATCTTGGTTATATTTATCGGCTGATTGCAAACATTTTTCTTCAAGTATTTTTTCATCTGTTTCTAATTTAAATGAAATAACAAATGCATTGGGTGCATATTCCCCTTTAATAGCACCTAATAATTTAGGTACAGATTTCAATCGAATGATAAGTTCATTTTGACCCGATGGAATTTTATGTTCTGTTAATTCATCATCGGGTATGTAATAATCCGAAACAGCAGCACATGCATAAATTAATGCGGATCGACCAAAAGGTTTCAGTAAACAACAAAGTTGTTGAAGACCAGTGAGATAATCGGCTACTGTTTGAAAAGGAATTAAAAGAAGTGATTTTTGATGTTTATGATATTGATCGAGATAAACATCTTGATTTGATTGTGATGATTCTTCAAAGATATTTTTAATATGTCGTTGATAAGGTAATGTTGACGATAGACGATAGAAGAAAAGTACAATATAATTTCGCTCGAGAAAATATTCAACAGAAGCAGCGCCACGTTGACCCGTGCTGAAATTATCAATAAAACGAACTGTATTTTTTTCTAATGGTACTGTAGTGCCACCTGATGTAACTAAAACAATTGAACAATCAGTCTGTGCAATAAAAAAATACTTCAAACATTTGACATATCGTAGAAATCATATACTAACTGTCTGAAATTCCGTAAGAAATGCGTGAACACGTTCAAGATCAATTTTCATAGAAGCCATTGTTTCTTCTAAAATACAAATCTTCTCTAATATAACTATTTACTAATAGATAAAGTAATATTTTGCGATTTTGAAATTTGTTCTTCATCAAAATAAAATGAAATCATGTCTCGATGCGAGACAATCAAGTCTAGGTGATATTTATTTGGTATATATGTAAAGAGCGAAAAAGCAACAATATCAGAAGATAGCGCATTCAAACATGATATACAAAGAAAACTAGAATATAGAAAACAAAAAATCAAAAAGGGTTGCATAATCGCTACTAAAACAACATCAAAAAAATACTTCTTTTCTTATTGTTTCATTATCAGATCGCTGTACATGATTATCTATATTTATATATATATATTGTTGACAAGTATTCGCATGGCACCTGAAGAATTTTCCCTGAGAGATTAAAATGAAATTTAAAAAAAACGAAGACTTGACAGATTCATTATTAAATATCAGTTTCAAGCGGTGGCGGTGGTTCATTTCGTGTACTGCTACGACTACTCGCTTGTGAATGTGAATCGACTTGTATACCAATGGCATAGGTTTTTTTATTATTATTCGGTGTCAATAGTTGTAATTGATCCGAGCGATAACGACGTGGTTGATGTGCTGGTGATACATAGGCAGGTGGCGGAGAAACTGAACCTGTGGATACACTGGCTAAAGAATCTTGTTGATTAACATTTCGTAATGAGCGTCGATGGGTAACTGGTGGCGCTGACGGTGGAACTGTAGGCGTTTGTATACGTTCAAATCGTCGTCGACTTCGATATAATGTTGCCGAATCTGCTGTTGCTGTTGAATAGACACTCGATTGATCTGTATGAGAATTAAGCACGAGTGCTCGTTGTGAACCAGCATCGTCACTTAAAGCTGGTGTTGATGCTTTTGGTATATTATGATTTAATTTCAATATTGAAAAATCATGATGAACCGGCGATGCTGTTGATAGATCATTATCTGAATTCATTGTTACACTACTCAATGGACGACTTGATAATGATAGAGATGATAGCGGCAGTTTATTTGTTGTACCATTGGTTAACGTTGACAATGTTGCACTTTTGACTAATGTATTATCATTACTTTTATGTAATGATAATGTCGATTGTTTATTTATTTCATGTTTAACACTACGACGAAGAGAATTTTGTCGTTGAAAATTATCTTTACGACGTTGACGCGATTTACAACACCAACAGCAAATAAATAATAGTATTAATATAAGCATTAAAATTATACCAACGATAGCTAATAATACGTCGCCACGAATGATTAATTTTGCACCATCAAATTGTTGTTCTACAAAAAATAGAACATATTATCTAATTATGAAACAATCTCATGATTGAATTACCTTTTTCACAGATAAATCCAGCTGTTGAACTACAACTAACATCCATTGTTTCCATATCATTAAATATTCGGCAAAATTCACTATTATCTTTTCTCAGCCAAATACCCGACGATGGTACAGCATCACTATTAATACCTTGATATTGTGATGTTCGTACTAATGAACGTAGAATAACAAGACGATTCAATGGTGTATCACGTCGTGTTATTCGGCTGTCGACACTCGAACACATTTCTTGTGCAATACGATAAGTTGTTATTGCGCCGAAATAAAAATAACATAAGGTATCATCCAGCGTCCAGCCCGGGTCACATTTACCTGAAAGAAAAATAAATAACAGTAAAAATAATATTTTTAACTTTCATTCTAAAAACCTTGTCGAAGCCGAGTTGAATCAAGATAAGGTGGATAATAATTAACTTCTATTAATGTTTTATTATCAAATTTATCATAGATACGTGCACCAATATCATCCACATCACCAATACGTCCCCAGAAATTTGATGAAGCATTCACTGAACGAGATTCTAATCGATTTGGTTCACTAAAAATAGAAGATTTCGGAATTATTAAATTAAGAAATTTTCTTTTTCTCATACAAAAGACGTGACCGTGTTCGAACTTCATATCGACTATCCCAATTATCGAATGTATTAAACATATAAATTTGTCTTGGATTTCCGATTTCAATAACAGCACCCGTTCTGAATGCACAAAAAAGAAAATTTAGTGATAAAGTAAATAAAAAACGAACCGGTCAAATAATTGTTGATTTAGTTGACCAACAGCACGATTGTTTCGAAATGAATTCATTTCTACTGCTGGAAACGGCGCAGTTATTTTTTCAAAGCCAACCATTGATAGAATATTAACACCAGTATTATTATAGACTTGATTACGACTAAATTAAACAAAACCGAATAGTCGAAATCTTCCTGATAAGCTTCAATAAATCGAAGTTGACGATAGAATTTACGTACCTGAAATTAGCCACTACTGAATCGAAACGAATTATATCTCTATCATATGCATCATTGAACATAATAGCATTTTGAATAGCAAATAAATTGCAAAATGCTGACATTTCCATGCCATTAAAAGCAAGAACTGAATCATTTCTATAAAGAAAAAATTCGAAATAACAAATTTCCGGAAAATAAAATTATTTACCTATTTCGATAGAAAACATTATTAAAAAGATAACCGTTAAATATCGATGATAACGATTGACTATAACATTGTATATATGTCCCACCTAAATTTCTGCTTAGCCAATTATTTCCAAAGTAAAATCGTTGCGCATTTTGAAAAAGAAATGAATTTATTGGCGGGGATGAAGAATTGTATCGATAATAACCGTTGAAAAGAAGTGTATTCGATTGAAAGTAAAGATTCGCCGATCGTTCGCCTGCCGATGTATATTTTAATACACCTTGTTGATTGCCCAAAAAGACGTTATCCGATATTTGATGCACAATTTCTCGTGTAGCTACAGAGAGAGAACAAATCATAATACAAATGAAAATAAATATTACACTTACAAAATGGTGTTACAGGATAGAGTGTCACTTCCGCTGTAAAACCATGCGCTTTGCTTCCACTCGATGCGTAGATTGTGACTCTTAAACAGCCTTTTCCAATGCTATACAAATGTTTCCATGCTGCATCACTTGAACCATTTGTTAAATAGGTTAATAATTCGTTTTTCTCATGACCATTTTCATCGTTTGTAACACGATGAATTTCAATCCAATCATTTTGATATGTACTATTCAATAAATTAGCCTAAAAGAGAAAGAATAAAATTTCTAAGCTGATATTTGTTTGTTGTTCTTACTTGAAAAAATCTTATTCCAATTTTATATGGATTATTTGAACAAAATAATTTCGAACATGTTTGATAATCATATCCATATTTATAATAGGTGATCAAACGATATTTAATATTAACAATTCGATGTGCATTACAAATATCCAATAAACTAAATGGTTTTCCATTGATATTTTGTTCGTATAATAAATCGAATGTTGATTTTTCATGAGTCGATTGTCCATAATAAACAAGACCATTCACAGCTAAATCTAATGAATTCGTGATTCGACTATAACCAAATAAAATTGATTGTTTAGGTAGAAGAAATTCAAAGCCAATATGGCGACTATGTTCAATATGTATACGTTCAATGGCTGGCGTTCGGTAAACTGTTTGTATAGCTGGTTGATAATCACTTGTTTCAGATATTAAAACATAACGAAGCAAAGATTGATCATGTTTCGTATAATCTAAGGACGATAGATCTTCTTCATATTCGCTATTAGCAAAACGAATACCATTCCAGGATTGTGGACTTTCATAAGTTCTAAAAGATAGTTACGGGGAAAAACAAGAATTTTTACTTGGAATAAAAGAAAAAAACTCGAATACGAACGGTGATGAATGTGGTAATGGATATCCACCAAGATTAATTGAAAAATCAGGTTGAACATTTGAATTTACTGTATAAAGAAGATTATCATCATAACAGGATATATAGAATAATTTCGAACAAGTATTATTATTTTCAGTTGTAAACGAGCATGATGATATTGCTGCTTCATTGCCTGAACAATCAATTGTTTCTTGCCAGAGTGGTAATTTTTGATAATCAAATAAATAGAATGAATCCGGATGAGCGAGAACATTTCTCCATGGTAAACCAAGTTGATGACATATTAAACGGTAAGAAAATAATTGACGAAATGTATCGTGGCAAACGTAAGACCAATCGCGACGTGTCCAATTGTAAATTTGAAGAAAACCTTCATTAGCAGTTCGACCAATATCCAGACGAATTTGTAAACGATCGATGAGAGGATTAAACTAAACGGGAAATAATATGAAAAACTGTTCGGTTTAACTAGAAGAGACTAAAGACGGTTCAAATGAGACCAGCGACCGCTAGACTCAATTCCGGGACGTAGGCGAAAATACGATAGTATACAGTATTGTCTTACCTTATATTTTGAAAATGGAACTTCATCTGTAAAATGATATTGATAAGGATTGTGTCCATTGGCAATTTGTTCATTGACAAACTCTTTATTTGCTAATCTCATCACAATGGGATCTTTTGGTGTACCACTTGCGTTTAAATTTCCTAAAACTAATAGACCCGTATTAGGTGCAAAATGAAGTTCAACACCAGGTTCAATAGTTAATATTGCTCCAGGCAAAACAGTCAAATCACCGTTGATTAAATAAGGTTCTCGTCGTCGATGTATGATAGTATTCGATGTGATCAAGCCTCTCAAAGGTCTATTCATCTGTAAAATTGTTTGTATAGGCAATTGAATTTGTGCACATGTTAATTCTCTACAAGCAAGAAATGGATTCCATTTTACATAGGCATGATCTGAACGTTTTGTAAAATCTAAAATTCGATTTTGTATAGCTTGACCAACATCTGAACCCCACCAATTGATAGTTGCATCCAATGTTGTATTTATTGTATCGGTTACAAGTGCAGCAATTAATTCGTAATTATAGTGAATATTTTCAAATAAATTTCTTTGTATTGTAACATTGTGTGAACCAATTAAAGTTATACACGACGATGGTAAATGGGGATATTTCGTAAACAGTGATGGTTTATTGTCAACAAATTGATTGAATAATATAGATGATTGATATAGTAGATTGTGATGAAATGGTGCATGACCATTGAAATCAAATGAAAGTAAATTATGAACTTGATTACGTAGAAATATATTTTCATTAATAAGAAAATCTTTTTCTATTTGACGTAAATCTATTAGAGATGTTAGCTGATTGAGATTATTTTCAAATAGTGAATAAGTTAAATTAAACGATGCATGAAAACCAGTTAAACGTATTGAACCATATTCATTGGAAAGAAACATATTTTTATAGATCCGAACACCGTGTGATGGAACTGAATAGATCAATGGTGAACGTGTATGAATTGAACCTGTTGGAATATAAGGCCATATTGAGAGACTATCAAAAATTGTTCGGTTGAATGGATATAAACGAGGAAATGTTAGATTTAATAAAAGATCGTGATTGTGAGTAAAATTTGTGTTTGTTATTTCAAAACGAATAAGACGATCGGAGAATATCAATGGATGAGCATCAAGATTGATTACTAAAATATTTAAAAACAAATGAAGGCATTGGAAATGTTGTCTCATGTAAAATTTCTTTAGGAGAAAACGATTGCTGATGTTCATCTCCTGACATCTATACATCATCTCTTTTAATAGAAAAGACTTTTCTCACCTTGCCGATTATTAATAAAAGTAGTTTTATCAATTCTACATGTAAATTGTATTGGAATAAATTGTTTTCTTTCTTGTACAGTTTCATTCATTAGAAATCGTATATTTTGTTCAACTTGATTTGCATCTAGCTTTTTCGATTGATGTTCAATTAAGATACTTCGATTTTGATTAAGTTCAAATAAACATTCATCAATTTGTATTGTTGAATTTTTATAACGTCGTTTTATATCAATCGTTGTTATTTGACGATTTAGTTGTTTATCTAGGAGTTCTTCTTGTTTGAATTCTTCACGATTATGTCTTTCGTCTTCTTCAATAATATTCAATGATGGATCATTATTATTTACAGCATTTGGACCTAATAATAATTGTTCGATTAACCGTTCAATATCAGTTTTTAATTGATTGGTTAATGCGTATTGATTATTTGTTTTTTCACGATCATTCAAATAATGAACGATGTCATGGTGATTGTAGGAGAAAAGGCAACGATGAAATCGAATTGATATATCCGATAGAAATCTCCCCTGAATAAATATCGGCGCCGGAACACTATGGATAATAAATGTTAAACGACTTGAACGATATCGATAGAGACGATAATGAAGTTGTAAACTTGAATAAGATGTTATCAATGGGAATAGATCTCGATCGTTTGCTAATGACCATTTTTTATAAGATAAACTTTGTGTCAGACCAAGACGTTGATGACATTCAACTTCGCATATAAGTAATTGTTCATTTAAATTCGAAAGCGGATTATAATCGATAAGGTCAATAACAAGAATAAATGCTGGATCTGTACGAATATTTAATGTATTAAAAACAATATTATCTTCTGCGTTATAGCCACCGAAGGATGTGGTTATAAAAGCAAATTTATTTCGTTCAAGTTCATAAAATTGATCGTATAATAAATCAAGTGAATGAACTGTTGTTTGTGTTCGTGCAAGATTAATTCGTAATTGTTCAAGTTCAGTATAGGAATAGGACGCATCGAATTTCATTGCCGAATAGATATTATGTGTAAATGTACAATGAGAAAAATTAAAAAAACTTGAACGTAATAGAGCACCAGTATAATAATTGTGTTGAAATGACGAATGATGAATAATTGAATAATCATAATTCAAAGGATGAATATGATTTATTTGTAAGCCAATGATATTATTTGTAAAGGTTAAATTTTTTAAAAGATTCCACGGATGTGAAAGTAAATCGATGTGTAAACCTGCGTGTATTTCATCTTTGTGAACATCATATTGACCAGCGGAATCGAAATGAACGAATTCGAGATGAGTTTTACTTTGTGTTGGATAGATATGAACACCTAAAATGAAAAGTTATTTTAAAATTTTAGCTCATCATTCGCCTGTAACTTGGGTTTATAAAAATCAGTCGACAATGGCCGAATAGAAATCACTTACCAGCCCATGACGAAGGTAAACATTTAATCCAAACATCGTCTATATGATCACATGTATGTACAGTTTCTTTTCTGCACTGTTCAAGATTTTCATCATGATGTAAGTCACAAGCAACTTCACTCCATATAATTGGATCGTTGATAATCGTGTGATTTAAATTCATCATTGGATATAAACTCTCGTTTGGATCATGTATAAAACCCAATGACATACACACAAGTATAGAGTTTTCCTTTGTCCAACCGTGATCGCATACAGTTCCGGAGCCATCTTTTTGACTGGTAACAAATAATCGACCTTCGTAAATAGTCGGTCCATCGATTAACATAACTTCACGTTGACTTTGTTCTTGTTGTTTTTGTTGGTTAACTAAGAGACTCGTTGAAGATTTATTATTAAATAAATCTAAACGAGTTGGTGAACCATCAACACCTTGAATAATTAATTCTCCATGAACGAAAATTCCGATGCCATTTAAAAATTCTAATTGACTGCTTTGTATAGTTAAACGTTTATCGGGTTTAATTACAATATCATTCGTAACCGTATAACGACCTGGAGATAAACTATAGTCAGTATCAATAATTCCACCTATCGTTGATGTTAATGGATCAATACGAAAACTCGTTGTTTCGAAACCACAGTTCGGCAATTGACAATGCCAAAGTTCTGTTGTTATGCTTCGATCACTACATAAAAATGGATACCATATGATCGGAGCTAGATTAGATCGATTATGTTGATCAAATATTCTTTCACGAATATTTGGCCATTGAGAAAAACATAATTCCGGGCGATCGTAATAAAGTGAATAGTAATACGGAATTTGTGATGCTGGTGAAGCATAGTATGGCCAATCATTATTTGTCGACGAAAGAAGCATAGATTTATTTATCGATGGAACCGATAAGATTTCATTTCGATTGTCTGGCATATAGTATTGAACTGTTTGAGGAACTGCATAGGGACGTTGAAAAGCAGAATCCGGTGGGAAAAAATCTGTCCGAACGTCATATGGTTCGGATAGGTAACTATAACTTATTTGAGGAACTGGTTGAAGTTGTACTTGTCGTCGATGACGTGTACGATTGTGTATACGACGTATAGAAGCTTTTTGTTGTAATGGAATTTGTTGATTTTGATATAATTGATACTTATGTACCGCAGACTAAAAAGAAAGAGTTAATGTTAAGTGGAAAATTTTATAATTTATGAATTTTAAATCAATAACTCAATGTCTGCCCAAGCAAATGAAATGTCAATAGTACTATCGTATTACAAGAAAGAGGATATTTCTGCCTTTAAAAAGATATAGAAATCTTATGGTAATACCTGTAGATGTTGATTTCTTTCATATGGATTGAGTGATACTTTTTCCACGCTAACCGGCGGTGGATAAATCGATGTAAAAAAGTTCATATCGGCTCTAATAATTGCACTCGAATTTGTCAATTGACTAACAATATCAAATTGACTTTGTTTATTTCCAAAGATATTTCTTGTTATTCTAATATGACTCGATCCAACAGTTAATATACCCGGCATACGTGAACGTGCATTTAAAAATTGGTTCGTTTTTGAAGTTATATTATTATTCATCAAACGATTGTACATAAATAATATTGTTTGATACGGTGATAATTCATTTAAATCCAGTGAAACAATAAAATTCTTGCCGTTATTATTTGTAAAATTATTAAACAATATTCTCAATGTAACATTACGCAAATAAACATCTTCATTCCAATTTGATTTATTACCAACAATTAACAAAGCTCCATTCTCATGTCCAATAAAAGAATTATTTGCTATGTCACCAAGAATATTTTGCACAGGATTTATACGCAAACCAACTCGTTTATTATTTAAAAATCGATTCCACATAACATTAAGTACGGTGTTGCCTGTTTCATTAGCATATAATAAAGCAACAGGTATCCATGGTGGATATTGTGGATAGATGTTAATCGGTGCTTGATAGATAATACTGGGCGGTGGTGGTGGAGGCAATAAACTGTCAAACGGAGCCATTGGAGAACGAAATTGATAGTCGATAACTTTTCGAGGGCGCCATTCATGCTGACAGGCATCAAAGCGAATCGCATCATAAACGGAACGTTCAAATAATGAACCATTTATATAGAATAGTGCTGGATGGCATGTAGCACGTTGCCATAAACCATAAAAACCATTCGATCGAATAGATGTGCCATTGATAAAAGTTATTTGACGATAAGCATATGTTGGAAATTGAAGATATGATAATTGTGAACCGGCTGGTGCTGATTCAAGCCGTACAGAAATACCATGTTGATTATTAAATGAAATATCGGAATAGTATAGACGACGTTCACCACCATCATAACTAATATGAATGCCATCTTCGTTATTGGAGTTAAAACTTGAATGATAGGTCCATAGGGCACCTATGAATAATCGAAATAGTGAAATGAAAAGAAAAAACTAAAATTGCAAACCTGCGCCTGAATCAATATCAAGGCCATGACGTTGATTATGATTGATCGATGTTTGATTGATTTCAACAAGACTACGTATATTGACAGTGCGAACTCCATTCAACGAATTATTTACAATACGACTATTCCATATATGTACATCGGCATCGCGACCTATAGAAAAAAAAATATTCATAATCATAACATTTTCAGTTTTAACGTCATCCTTAAATTTTCTAAGGAACTATATCAATCCTTATTGACACATCCGGTCAGACGATACTTTTCTTTTTTTGGAAAAATAGAAATCGATTGATCTTTGCCGAACAACTCCGTTTTACAATCAGAGAAGCATTCTGTACGAAAAAAATAACCGGTGAGATTATCACCATCACTGTTCGCTTCCTGTAAACACGTTCTTTTGTCAATAGACACATACTCAGGCACATCCGCTAGTTAAACAAATACGCAAATAAATCTTTGATCTGGCACGTAAGTTTTTATTTCTGTGATTACATAACTCGCTTTTTTTATTACAAAAGAATATTTACCGATATCATTAACAACGTAGAGTTCTATTCGATCGGATTGATTCCAACATGAACGACTGCGAACATTATCACATGAATGACATAAACGAACAAGTAATTCATTTGAATAGGATGATAAACTTTCTATTCCTCGATTAAATGTTATATTGGCTAATAATGGCATAACATCAAATTTTCCATCATAAATTTCAACACGAAAACGTGTTCGATTGTCATTAACAAATACTGATTGAAAATGAAGCGTTAAACGTGTATTGTACATCGAAGAAAAAGTCTTAAAATAAAATTTAAAATTCAAAAAAAGAATTCGATTGTTTCATTCTACCTGTGTACAACAAGTTCCAGCGCCCTGCGGTCGATAGGAAAAATAATTTGGAAATTCGACTGTATCAGCTGCTTCACAGAATGGTTTATAAAGTCGTTGCGGACTCTCTTCTTGTTCTCGAACTGACCATTCTGTGTTATTTAATGCATAATTAACACCATCACCACCATTATCATGAATATAAACATTATCGAGAGTTACATTTCCATAGCGACTTGTGACAGTAATTCCATGCCCTAGAAAGTCACAAAAAAAATAAATAGAAAAGTAGTTCTTTTCGTTGCTACTAAAAAAAAATTTTTTTTTATACCTCGATTATAAGCTGATATTGAATTTCGTAATCGAACCGAGCTTCCAACATTAGAAAAATTCATTCCATCCGATGCAGAATAAAGCACTGTAATATTATCAAAGATTGGATTAATTAAATTATCGAAAACAGTCACAGCAGCTTGACGTTCAGCGTAGAATCGTGTTGTTTGTTCTGGTCTTAAGCCAGCATGTAAAATATCTACATAATGAAGTATAGATGGTTGTTGATGAAGACTATTGAATAATGGCGATGCCGAATCGGACAGATGTGGAATATCGGATAGGTGATTCGATTGAAATCTTCTTTCGAATACAATTCCACCCCAGTTGAGAACAACCAATGGATCGAAAAATCCATCACATTGCAGACGAACATATTGTTTATCATCTAAATTTGTTTATGAACAACAGCAACAGTTTTAAAACAACGAATTAAGCCATACAATAATGAAAGCAAGCAAAAATCAGAGAAAGCGTGCATGCGGAAAACATAAAGCAAATTTTCGAGCAGTGCAAATATTAGTTATCTTACTGAATAAGTTGAGCTAGATTAATTGAGAAAAAAAAGAAGAAGAAACAAAGCTTGAGCAATTTTTTCTAACATGATTGTCAACGTAAGAGCTGTCTTTCCTTAAAATATTCACTTTTCCCCCAGCTAATCCTTGGATAAGCATGAACTATTTTTATTTCAATCTTGAATGTCCTTGATAATCTCTTCTATACATATGTCAAATATCGCAAGACTCTTCTACTGAATTCATCGAATAAATAAGCTGTTATAATAGTAAATTGTTAGTAGTTAAAGGAATTAATTTTAAATTTCATTCAATTATTTACCACATATATGAATGCCAAGTCGAGGTGGTGTACGTACACCAGGACAATCGAGTAAATGTTCATCCCTATTCGGTCGACATGCTGGATGATCAATTTGTAAACCGTACCACGGAGGTTCACTACCATTTATGCGATATGGTATGACACTACCATTTCGAAAACCCATCATTCGACATGTTAATGTTGCATCGTAATCAAACCATCTGTATTAAAAATTAGATTATAAAATAAAAATATCTTGTTTTTTTTTTCTAAATAAATCTACCGATAGAATTCTGAACAAACATGACGCCATTGATTTTTAAAATACATTTGTAAAAGACCATTTTGAATATTCGAACCGTCGACGAGACGAAATCGAATGTTCGAACCCGAAATTGGATGACTCTGCTGTTGATGCTGATATAGTGCACTTGTTGAACTAGTAAATATAATTCGTCGATCAGGTGTACCCTAATTATTTAGATAAATATGAATTAATTACTACAAATAAGAATATTTACTTTTGCTATTAGTCGTCCGCGAACTGTAAGTTGAGAACCACGTGGAAATCTTAATGTTGTTCCACTTTCAATTGTAACTGTTGAATCGTAGGGAATAACTGTATCGCCGGCAGCATCATAGGGACTTTCAAGGCGAGTTAAAATAGTATCACCAACAAGATTTGGTAATTTAGTAGCTTGACACCAGCAAGATAAATATAGGATGATAACGAGTTGCAATGACGCCATGCATTACCTGGTATGGCCTCGAGCAAACTCGTTTGAATTTCTAATATTAAAAATTTAATCAGACAATTTTTGACCGTTAAAGTGTATGTGAATAAGTAGTCTAGGGAGAATGAGTCACCGCAGGTAAAACAGCTATCGGTCAACCGTCATTATTGATCGATCTATACCTTTACTCATTCAGATGAATACTTGACAGAACGGTAGAGAGCGCTAATGTAGCAGGTATATGTTAAAATGAATGAGAGAGAAGCGATGATCAGGTCAAATGAAAGAATGCATGAACAAAAAAACACGGCGACATGTGCTGATGAACTGAGAGAATCAATTCTTTTGCATTCAAAATCGATGACCGAGACGACTAGCAAAGGTTAATCTAACTTTTTTTAAAAGAACGCAAGAATAATGTTCGTTTATGCTTTGGAAAAATAATCTTTGATACAATCTATGACATTACTATGATTAATTGCTATACGCTAATCGATGAACGGAGCTATACTTTTTTCTTCTTTGCGGTCAAGTCTCAAAGCTATAATGTAGAAAAATAAAAAAGACAATAGCTGCATATTAATAAAAGAATTACAGAGTGGAAGTTCACCTGCTGGTTCATGGCTTTTTAATTCAAACTAACGGCTATCGCATTACAATGAGAGTAGTAAAATGATCTTAAATGTATATATCTAATATAAGGCTTTCATCTCCTAAAGGCTCAATTCTCTAGCTTAAAATTGCTATAATTAAATTTGATAGGTGAAAATATACCTGTCATTGTTTTTCTTATGCTTAGTAGTAAATGATAAAAATTTTTTTCTTTCTTCATAATCACAGCGATTTATTAAACATCTCATTATCTACTATGTAGTTTTGTGTGTTCATAAAATAATTATGTTATGAACTATAAAGCACTCATTACCACTTGTTCGTCTTAGACGTTTAAAATTCGAATACTAAAATATGTACCGTATCTGTAACTGATGAAAAATCTACGAGGTTAATGTGTTTGCTAGTGGACTCAAGTCTTTTATTTCTATCGATGTCACAAATATACTGAAAATAATATTGATAAAAAGCAAGAAACACGTGGTCAAAATTGATTATTTTACATTTGTTTTTGAGATTTTAGAAATTTTACAGAACGACCCTATTTTTGTAGTAAATGAATTTAATATAAATCTTTGTATTCTATATTAGTATAAACTAAACGGAGCTCTCCGTAGATCGTGACACCTGAAAAGTTCAAAAATATTTTAATATAATATGAAGATTCTTTTCTTCGACTGGAAAAACATCTGTCCCGTATGGTGTTGTATAAGACTATGTCAATCATTGTGCCACTAGCAAAAGTCATAAAAGAAAATAGGTGTGAACGATGTAAGAGGCCATCAAAATCTGACTTGCGGCTTTTATTTCATATTTCAACGTGAAACAGTCAGTGGATAAGCCTCTAATGAATATATTTTTCTTTGATAATTACGTAGCATATCCCTAAAACTTGTTATTAAGGTAAGATTAATATCTCTACATGGATATAGTTATAAGGTAAAGTTAATCTGATAGAAATTTTAAGGCAGATATCCATTATTACATATTTAGAACAGAAATCATCATTTAAACATATAAAGACAAGAAGAGAAAAATAAAACCGACTTAATCGTAAAAATTTGTCATGCCAACTGAAATATTACCAATCATTCAAACGGAATTTACTCGTTGTGGAAATATCATTCTTTTAATTTTCGGTTTTATTCGTAACACATTTATAAGCATCGTTTTTGGTAAACATCATCAAAAATCTTGTTCGATGTATCTTGTATGGGCATCTATCGCTAGCAATCAACAATGCATTCCTATGCTCAGTTCATCACTAAAATTCCGGACGATTCACAAAAGACGTTCAGGTGAAAGGGAAGGGTAAGAAGCTGATCCTGTATGATTATTTCTAACTCATAGTGCTTTTATCTCCTGGCACCTTTTCAAGCTTTCTGCTACTGCTGTTTCGGAGAAACGCGTTTTACTTTATGAAAGATTGATTACTATGTCATCGAACGTAGAATTTAATTCTTAACAGAGCACTGGGAACATTTTCGATTTTTCGCACTAAAAAAGAGCAATTGCATTTTGTCTTTTCAAGAAAGGATTTATTCGGTGATTTCCTATTCTTTTTCTAAAATTCTGAATCGACTATCGGAAGATGCAGAATCTTTTGGAGAATCGTGTGAGATAGTGGAACACTCAGGGGAATTTTAATTATAAAAAGGTTATTCCCACCTTTGTGCTCTTTTGACCATCGTAGTTGACTGATTGAGTAATTAGACGTAAATGTTTGAAATTTGGTGACGACAAAAAAAACTTGTTTGAAAAACAAAGTCGACAGTGCTGAAGAGCATTAAATTGCCTCTCTTTTCGCCTTCTAAGAAAACATTTTGAGGCAAAGGTAGTACGAGATAAAGACACCATGATTTAGTGCAATTTCACCTGGGACATCCATTATTTTTAAACGCCTTCTAGAGAAATTTTCATGCTTAGCTTGATTTAAAAATCAGTTTTACTCGAATAAAAACCTAAATATTGAAATAACTATTAGCGACTAGGTGTACATGGACACCGTTAGATTTTCTAGAGCTGTTGGTATGCAAAATATTCTACTCGTTCGATTTCGATGTACGTACATAGCAAGTATTTCACCAAATATATTTTTATTTCATACGTTTAACGAACGAAAAGTGCAACTTACAGATTAATATTTATTGAGAAGACCGATTGAAGTTTAATCTCGGATTTAAAACTCATCTGGGTCATTTTCAGATTGATCTCGATTATTGAATTAATCTAGAACATAATTACTTTCAGAAAAATCTACTATACTGGACGTTCCTTATGAATCGATCCTTCAGACAGCGAACTACTGAATATTCAGCACATGTGCTAGTTGGCATATAATGCCAGTACATATGCTTGCTGTCATAACAATTAATAATGGTCGCTGTAGTCTAGTTGACCTTTATTATATATCGTTTTATACCTATGTACTCATGTTTACCTCTTTCATTCCATCAATACTCATGAGTATATTTGAAGTAGCTGTTAATCTGGCTACATTATTTCCCTATCCATTTATTATTTTGGAAACGGCTATCACAACTTATATAGGTGCCAATGAAAGTATCGATCGCATTCGAATAGAAAATTTTCTCATATCGATAGCATCATTTTTGCATCTACTCGATTCGGCTTGACATTTTTATATATTTTTGCAATATCGAAAGCATTTCGAAAAGACATTAAACAATTAATCCAGTCGACTTGGTAAAAAGTCATCTGTCGCCAATGAGAAAAATACAATTCACCATTTATGTTTTTCTTTGCATGAAGCGACGAAATTAAGTTCTATTTGTATTCTTCACTAAATAACGAAACACTGTATATACCAAGCGATTTCATTCCTTTTACGGATTTATTCGATTTGAAAGGAAAAAAACAAACAAATTATTTTTATGAAATCCAATTTGCAAGTGTAAAAGGTGTGTTTGAAGTAGGACAAGGTCACCAGGGAAGCGTATGCAATCATTCGATAGTCTAAACAAAAAATATTATCTTGAATTGGGAGTAGAATCATTCTTTTTTCTATCGAAACGAGAGTAGCTGTAGGAATAAACATGAAAATGATTGCGGTCGTTAGTGTCCGAAAATTCTTTATTTAACTTATGTCATGTCAACATTCTCTAATGAAAATGTATTCATGCCAGATTCAGTTTTGGATCTACTGAACAAGCATTTATAGCATGGAACAGTTGTTGATTACATTATTATGAAACTTTAGAAAGGAGGCTGACACTGACTACTAATTATTTTTATTCTGTGAGCGTTCCTGTTTCTATATTACAATCAAAAACAGAATGAAGAACACACGTCGGCCTCAAGGTCTGATATTTTTCTAATAAAAAGATTCCGATTATGAGGGAACGATAGGTTGTGAGGAATTTATGCTGAAAAATAATATTTAATAATAGTATATGATCGTTCTACCGCTATCAAATATGCGGAACAATGTTTCAGGTAAAATCGCGCAACAGAAATATTGAATAATCTGGATTTTTATTAGGAAAATTAGCATAGGGCGGAAGAGGTCGTATCATTGAAAATATACCGCTCTTACATAGTTTTATACAGAATCGTAAGAAGAGCCTTGAAAATGTAAATAGACGTGAAAAATTCGAATTGAAGCATTGCTAATGAATCACCCACTATATATACCGTGGGTAAAACAGCGGCAATTAAAATGAGTAACTCAAATAACTATGAAATAGAAAGAAAGTGACACTTGCATGCAATTATAATTGAATTTTTCTTATTTCATCTTTCTCACGAAGTGTTCGTTTGCAGTTTGAAGTGCTTATAGTCGTATACCGATACTTCAAAGTCGAACAGTTCAAGAGAAAGAAAGGCAATTTATCAAATACAGATGAACTGCCAAAGGCTATAGCAGCGATTGATATTTTGTGTATGCATTTCTCCAGTATGTCAACAGTACTTCGCAATTGAAAAACAAATCCGTAGGTCGTTTCTTTATTAAGTTAAAAGGAAGTACATTGACACACTTAATTTTCTGGATTAAATATCGATTCCATATCATGCAAAATCAGGATGTTGTTGAAGATATCTAAAAATTGCAAAGCAAAAAGAAATATTTAACTTCAATTCGTACGCTTACTGGATAAATGGATACAGTCTATAAAACTTGTGTTGGTTGTATTTTACATTTAATGGAAGCCAATCTCCACGCATCTATATAAATATTCTAGCATATATTTTCATGACGAATGGACGCTTACAAAATTTGAATACGTTTTAGCTATTCGAATTTGAATATTTGGTTTTAAACGTATGATAAATAGACCGGTGTATTGAACCAATCCGACAGGGAATAAATATTTTACTAAACATTCTAAATAGTGTGAACGTTCATTATCATCAATATGTTGGTCCATATCAAATAATTGCCAATCGTCATCGTCATTATTCCGATATTCTATGCATCTCTTTGTAGCATATACAACTGAATCCCATGGACTTTCTAGATTTCCATCGGGTTTTAATGTTGAATAAGATATGATAGTATTCCGAATATTCACTCTGTTTGGCTTTTTTGCAAAGAACTATTTTCAAGCAAAAAGAAATATTTGCCTAAAGATCCTAAACAATATACCTTCCCATCTTGTAAAAATAACACGCCATATAATGATCGGCGTAAAATATTTTGAGAAATATTTTTTATGCGCCTTATTTGTAGTTCATTTAGTCCAGAATCTAAGACTTGAAGAAAGAGGAAACAAATAATTGAATAGAAAAGAAGAGTTATTCATTGACTTACATAATTGTTTAGTCCTGTCATTGTATTTGTGTACCGGTACGAGTATGAATGGATTTGATTTTTCAATTGCTCGAACTACTTTAGATAATTGAGAAGATGGTGGAGTACCGAATTCACTATAATTACGATCGAGAATATTTTTATCTGCTAAAAGTTTTCAACAATCATACCGTTGAAGATCACCGAGAATGGTTTTATCAACAATAGGTTCTGTGCTACGGCACTGGTTTATCATTGAATCACTATCAGAGATTTAAATAGAATAAAACGTTTTGTAGATTGACGTCGACGATTAAGATTTGTTTTCTTATTTCATTGCATCCGCACACTCAACTCAGCAAAAAAACCTGCATGCTTTCATCGTAGAGAAGAGACAGATGTTGCTCAAACAACAATAGTACATGAACTTTGAGCGCATGTTCGAAAGAAGGATTAAATGAAATGAATCCAAAAGTAGGTGGTATTAGAAAAATGATTCTTGTTAATAACGACCGGGATTACGTTGAGTTTCATATTTCAATCACCGAGATTTTTGTTTTTAATAAAATAGAAATGAAAGATAAAACTCTTCTTTGCATCTAAGAATCATTTTGAGCAGTATGACAGAGCACGTCGCACATCATAGGACTTGACTGATAAGCGGATGCGCATCTTGAATTTTCAAGCAGATCGAAAATCTCCGTTTAAACCCTTTCAACTAAACCTACAGGTTCGAGGTCTTACAGGATCATTCTGATTAAATCGGAAGTCTAATATTTAAGCCTGTTTATTTTTATCTTTGAGCAATAACTTACGGGTCTTCATAACGTTGATTAAGTGGAATAATCTCAATGTCTTCATCGGTTTTTATCCAATCTTTGAGATCAACGATATCAAGATTTTGTTCCATCGTTTTTCACGAAAAGCAGGTTTTTTTAAGGTAGTTTAACATACTTGTTAATTTATATCATATTTTGAGACGCGAGTGCGTAAGAGCAAGCATCACTGATATCGTTATCATTCAGTCATGTCAACAAAAATAAATGTCTTTTAACTTTAATACGTGACAGACACCTAATGACGTCAATAGATGTCGCAGTGACGATAAATTCGTAGAAGACGAATGTCGTCAAATGTTTGTTGAACTTCCACTTAGATGTTTGAATTCTACTTTTAACTTTAGAATGAATAGGATACGTCATATGTTAATTGATCAATAGAAAAACTAATTTTTAGAGTTTGAATTGACCCAAAAAAACCATTAATAAGAAACAGGAAGTCATCACACCCTCGATAAGAAAGTCTCCGTAGACATTAAAATATGGCTATTTTACTGAAGTTAGAATATATCAATTCAGTTATTTCATTGGCAAATCAAATGATAGAATTTTAACGATTAATAATATAGACGCCAGAGATGCGCACAATATAGGATGGTTCTATTTTGCCTTCCGCAAAGATAGATAACTTGTTAAAAATAAGATCAACGAATGTTTATTTAATATAAAAACAAAACGATCTATCATACAAAAAGAAAAATAATTATCTACTGCAATATCACATTGATCATATATTGATAAATTCCATATTCGCAGGTGGCACAGGCTCCTGCGCGTTATTGGCGGGTGGATTCAAATTTTCTTCTGTTTGTTTCGTCGTTGTTGTTGTTGTTTTTCCAGTAGAAGCTATAATTTGTGCACGATGCTTTTCGAATGCTCGTTGTTTTTTAGCTTTTTTCTTATCCGCTTTCTTTTGACTAGTGGATGCAGGTCGATTTTTTTGTTTCGCATTTTTATTTGTTTTTTCATTTTCTGATGTTTCCTCATTTGAAATCTCTTCATATTTTTCATCATCGTTGGCTTGAAGTTTTAGTAAAGATTCAACAGTTGAATCAATATCGAGATTATTATGAGCTAATGAGTCTTGCACTAGATCAACATTGTATATTTCTGTAACCGACATTATTTTGTCTACAGATTCATTGGATTCTTGAATAACAACTGAATTGTCTATTGGTGGAATATCTAGCGCAAGTAAATAAGCAATAGTTCCATCAATATCTCCATCAGTATCATTTAACGTATCACGAACTAATTGAGGATCAACAGGATTTGTTAATTGTGAAAGAATATAATCTACATCGTGTTCAGTAAATAGTTCTATTGACTCGGCAGCACAAGCACCATAAGTTGTATCGTTGGTTGTCTTTTTATGTTTTTCATTGACCGTTGATACATTACAGGTTGTCATTGATTGTCGAATATTTGCTGTTGTAGATGTATGATCACCTAGCTTTCTTACCGATGAATAATGTTCATAGTCATGATATGATATATGAATTTCATGTTGAGGAGGTTCAAAAAAACATACCATCCAAACTGGTTGATTTAACTAAAATGATACGATTTTAATAAGCGATTCTTTTTTAAACAGAAAGTCATCTTTCAATAAAGACTGGAATTGGCCTAAATTAAAGCTGTAGTAAAGAAATAATTCGAGGATGTGCTTTTGTAAAGTCATGAGTTGAGTTAGAAATCGATATTATCCTATAGAATATTCGATGAATAATTACTTGATGTATACATATTCTCGCATCGAACAAACGTGAAAAGGCAACAAGACATTCATTTCCACCAAACGTTCCATCTTTTGAAAGCGAACGAATAAATGTATCGAACGATTCATCAACAATAAATGGCTCAAAATCTGGACGATTCGCACGCATATAGTCACAAATTTTTTCTCGATAGTAAGCATGTCGATGTTGATTACCATCCATCTGATCGGCAACTAGTTATGAAAAATAAATTTTAAATGACTATCAATAAATAACTCACAACTTCGAAATAGACAATTGCCATCGCCAACAATAGGCCTCAACTGTAAATTAAATGCTCGTAATTGATTATTAAATGCTCCGCTATTTTCATCTTTGCGGGGGTGAGCTTTTTTATCGCGAGCTTTTTGTTCTTGCCGACGAATGTCACGTTCTTGTCGTTTTGCTGAATTTGATGGCGTATCTGAATTATTACGTCGAGGACACATGGAAGAGAAAAATTACTTTATTCCCTAAACTATCAATCTGAAACAGGACAAGCGGCTTTCGTAATAGAATGCATGCGTTGACAAAAATATACTCTGACAATATATGCAATTAGTATTGAAACCGATGATGTCATTTGCACGTTATTATGAAACTTTTAAATCAATATATTTAAGAAAATATTTTTACCAGCATCAAACGCCTATCAAGATTGGCAATAAAGCCTGTGAGTCAGTAACTTCGTCAAAAGACGTCGTTAGTGTACAATATTATTTTTCAAAAATAAATATATTTCAATATCTATAGTAAAATATCTTCTAATGGACGCTTCTTTACATTAGACCCATCCTAGTTCTAAATAGCGAGTAGTTTCTTCAAAGAATTCACTTCCGATCGTAAGTTTCATCATGTCACTGAGAAGTAATGTTTTCTGTCCTTTTTCGTTCTGTTTTACGTCAATAAAATGACGTAGCAATGCAAACAGCGCAAGTGAACCAGTGTTTCCAATGACAAGTGTGCCAAGCAAAAACAAAATGTACAGAACATCTGCTAGTTTTGATTTACACTCTGTTATGCACTTGCCCGGAAAAGCAAGGTTTACAGTTGTACACTTTGCTAAAATAGTTTACACTTTGATCTCTGAACCTTAAACGCTGCATATAGCTTTAAATTAATTAAGTATGATATGTGTTTATTCGCTAGTGATCAAAATGTTTGTTTCATAAGATAAAAAATGGCGAACATTATGTTTTGTTTTCTAGCTTGTGAAAATTGGGCTTTGGATACACTTTGCTCATAAAAAAACAGAGTGTACTGTACATTTTGTTTTAGATTTCCATTGGAAACACTTAGTGAACTATGCAGTGCAAACGAAAACTTATTTGTATTGGCAATAAAGCAAAAGAGGAAAATTGTTTCAAAACACAAGAACTAATACGAGCACAGAGAGCATAATCATTTTAATTTGAAATGTCAGAAGTCTTGAAATAAAAATATTTTTTCGTTGATTTCAATTTCTTTATTTTATTTTCTCCGTTAATCTGCGAACATGAAAATAATTTATTATTTCTAATTTTCTAATTTTACAAAACAAGACACACTAATACTCTATTTTGTCGAAATCACTATCGAATGTTGCTGCGCCCATGTTTAATTCATATGGTAAACGTAAATAAAGCACCGATTCAGTATCACTTGTTGCTTGAATTGGTAGACTTGTATTTTCATCAGCATCCTCATCATCTACTATTAGATAATCTTGGTTATCTAAAGTACTCAATGGTAATGAACTAACATCATTTATTGGTTGTAAAGCAATGGAAAGTTCGAGTTCCGATATCGATGACAATGTTCGATCATAATTGCATAATGTATTGTTTGAACTAGTTGAATCGATCCCAAGACGATGAACGTCTTCTTTAGAAAATTTGATCGGTTCAATATTTATTCTGCTATTCGATCGAACAGCTATTGAGCTAAATTAAAAGACGGTTTCATTTCGTTTACTGTTTGTTTGTTTTTAGTTTACGTACGGGACTTCCGATGTACGCAAACATGTTGATGCCAACTGAACAGCTAGTGGGAAAAGAGCTATAGCAATATTTGATTGCATTGGTTCAAGACGTTGTTCAGCAGTATGTAAAATATGATTTAACTATACGTAAGAAGAAAACATTTTTTACTATTTTATTAGAGCAATTCTAAAGTAAATAGATTTCGTTGTTTAAATGTTTTATTCAAGATCCTAGTTAATTTACTCGATCCTTGTATCTATGTGTTTAAATAAGAAATTTGATTTAAGAAAATCAACCCGCGGACCCATAAAATCGTTCCGCACTGAATAATAATTAATTTTATATTCTTACTCGAATAAGTTCACTTTTAAGTTCTCGATTTTGTAATTGCGCATAACGATATTTTTCATAGCAACTGATTTCGACAACTAAACGTCGTGTACGCGATGAATCAACGACTAGATCTTTTGAAACAACTGCATGTGAAGATTTGTGTCGACTTTGTAAAATAATTACCTAGTATAGAAAACGAAAGTCTATAGATAGAAAAATAAATCAACGATTTTTATTTACTTTGGGTAAAAAAACTAAACATAATATTGAACTCGTCACAACAATAACAACTAAACATATTGCAACATATGTTGTTAGATTTTGCATTGAAATCATTACAATAACAGTGAATAAACTAGTTAAAACAACGACATATATACTCCATACAATAAATTTAGAATCATTCAATGCAGCTATATGAACATGACGCGTTTTAGCAGCTAAATAGCCGCCCATAATAAGAAATAAAGATTTATATACATAAATCAATGGTAAAATCTTATGTCGATATTTTGAAGCACAATAAGATATTTCGTTCAACACGATAATATCAACATCAAATCGTCTAATCTAAAGAAAAATCAATATTTATGATTATCTGAAAAGAATTCTTTTTTTTTCTTATTACTGGTCCATAGGTAATTTTTGCTGAATGCGGATCAAATATTTGCCAGGATATCATAAATATAATATCAATACCATATAAAACAAAACATAATAATAGAAGATGTTGATCTTGAAGAAGCTATTGATACCAGAAGAAAAAAAGGTTGTTTTTTCTTTCTAGTGAATCAACTTAACTGACTTTAGAATGAAGTAATGGCCGATCCCGAGATGTAAATATTCGATAGACACGTAAGGTTTTTAAAAACATTGAGCCGAACATTAATGAAAAACCGCCCGACAAGAGGAAAATTCGTAGCTATTAAGAAAGAAAACTCAATCGAATGCTACCGTGCTGCAAATTTTACCATGCAAGCATGGCCAAGCAAATTTCGATCAAGAAACCATTCGTCGAGACCAAAAAGAATAATCGAAATATGAATATGCATGGCACCAAGAACCATTACATTATTCAATTTTGGACTTGACAATTTAATATACCTTCAATAGAAAGTATGCAAGCAGAATTTATATGAAAACGCATTGTGAAATAAATATTTGGAATTCTTATTTAAGAGAAATCTGTTAGTGCGATCTCAGTGGAATGAAAAATGCAAAAACACAATCGAACTATAATTGCCGAAGAACTTACTTAGCAGTTTAGACATATATGATCTTCGAGAGTCGATTTGTCACAGAAATTGAATTAATTAATATCTCTGTGGACGAGGATGTCACATTCCTACCCTGCGTACTGCAAAACTCCTTTCACAAAACATTGTCAATCTTGATTTGTAAGTTAAGACTTACAATTGAACTATTTTCAACGGAATATGGCATTGATCAATCTAATAGAGTATCATCATGGAGAAAGTGTACTGACACGTATGGTCCTAATCGATATTGTGTGCGCGATTCCGGCGGTAATGAGAAGTATATAGTAAAACGTTCACCGGAAAATATATAGAAATTTTCCGTAAGAGGGACTGATAAGATAGGCATATTTTTGATTCAGGATAGCCACCATTTGTCATACTGCTAAGATTATTGTTTATTTGATTCTGTCTTACAGTTATGATGCACTTGCATTTGTAAAAATAGAACTATTATTTAGTCTACGATGAGTGCAAAAATGAGTAGTTTGACTCGTTTTTTCTTATTGTGTTATGGCTACGATAGTTTAGATAATTCAATTATGTACCCCCAGAAGAATTGTGCTAGTTGAATGCTAAATGATATATGTCAGTAGATCTCGATATGACACAAGAGAAAAAGAAGTTCAGTCATAGCTAAAATTTTTATTACCGTTGATGTCGATTAATAATATTAAACGTTAAGAAGAAAATTGCAAGTGCAAGACCTAATATGCAACCAGTAGTAATAAGACCGATTTCGATCATATTCATAACAAGTCGTCGAACTTCACTTCGTTCAGTATCAACTGGAATTGCGCCTAAATTTTAGTACAAACATTTATTTTAAAAGTACAATGCTTTTCTTTTGGTTTATGTTAACCTGGCCAAACCAATACACGGCATCCTGCGCATTTTGTATTGATTCCTAATAATGGCGAATATTCAGCTACAATTTGAATTTGTTGTTCTGTATCGATTTGAAATTGACTTATAAGAGTTTCGGCTTGCCGTTGACGACTTCGAAATGAAACAGGACCCTGAACAAAAACAAAAAGAATTTTTAATCGATCAGAAATTAAAATCTCGGCAAGATTAAACTCAGTTAAACAGGCATCATGTGATTCTATGAAAAAGCCTTATTTTTGTCCTTTTGGTAAAAATAGTTCCTTCATAAAATTGTCCCAATATATTTACTTACAGAAAGTCCATGAAAATAAATTTCTTCTAATAAAGCCAACCATTGATTTTTCATATCTGCTGAACTATAACTGAAATTTTCAATTCCTATGCTAAGATCATACGAACAAAAACAAAACATTTTTTTTAAAAATCATAAATTTTTTCTATTGACCTTCGTTGAATAGATGCTCGTATAAGTAAAGCAATAGACCAAATAGCATCAAAAGCATGTAAGATCTGTCTATCGAGATGTCCATTTAAACGAAGATGTTCTTCTAAGTCTTGTACTGTCTAGAAAATCTCTCGCATTTTTTTTTCTATAAACATATTTTCCTTTCGAAAAACTAACCGTATTTGGATTAATTAAACTTGGTTTTATTTGATATAAACTATCAATAATAATATGACCACGAGCTGCATTAATGATATCGTGCATTGAACAATTACTTGTTGATAAATTCCATAAGTGAAAATCATTTCCGGTTAATATCCAAACATAACGTTTACGTAGTTCTTTCGTAAATGTTCGATGTACTTCACAGAAAAAAGCAGCCCGTGATGACGTATCGAAATTCACAAACACTATTCGAGCTTTTTTTTCCTATCAAAAAGAGCAATACGGAGTTTTATTTTCAAAAATTAGGATAGAAGAGTCACATACTCGAAGAGTCTGAAGTGCTGATGTAAGGTTGGCCATAGAAGCACTTTGAGTTAGAATAATATTAATATTTGACTCATTTAAACGCTTAGCTAATTTTGCCATCATCTTGAAATAGGAGAGCAACAAAGAAAAGGCAACATTCTTTTTTAAATACGACCCAAAAAAGATTTTTACAAGAGAATATTCTGTTGAATCTTGATGAAGAATCGCTACATGAGACCAATTATTATATTTAATAAAAGCAACTCGCCCATCGTTATAGTTTTCATCCGATACTGACAGACGAACAAGTGTTGAATATGTTTGGTCAGCTTGCGAAATAAATGAAGTTGAATGTGAAAACTATTTTATATAAAATAATATTCATTTCCGTATTTATATTAGAACGGATGTTGATTGTTTTCCTCTCAATACTCACGAGAATAAGATTGTAATAATCAGCTACTTGAATTACAGATTTTGTTTCATTTATACATGATGTTCCAATTAGAAAAATTAACTGTGGACAACGAAATATTGCGTGGAAAAAAGCATCGACAGCGTAGATCGGATCACACTAAATAGAATATTCTTAGAAGAATGTTCCAATGAAAAAATAAATCTTATATTTATACTTTAGAATTATTTGAAAGTAAATTTAACGTATAACGGCCATCGAATAATTCATCGTAACGATCATTAATTTCATCAATAGCCATTCGAGCAGCTTGTAAATCATATTTTCCATTGTTTATAAATGAATTATCATAATTGAACAAACCACCAATATGTAAACTAATGGGTGCACTATTATCTTGATTAGCATCAATCAAAATGATCATAATAAAAAACATGGAACATTGAGAATACATCCGAAGGCATTATAAAATCGGTACAAAAGAAAAGAGCATCTGTAAATAAAGTTCACTAGAGACGTTCCTACACTCTTGGTAAACAGATCAATAGAATAAAAAGAGAGCAACAATTTCTAATATCAAAAGTATCTTAAACGCTTATATTCTCTTTGGCATTAGAAACAACAATTTGACTTTATCGGTCATTCGCAATCGTTCGTTGATGATGATGATGATGATGATGATGATGTGCACTCCGATCAACGAGCATCGTTAGTAAACGCCAAGAGACAACACGATGAGAAAAATAAATGCTCGTGCGTGTGAATAACATTTTTCCTCTTCACTGAAGATTTCTTTCCGTCATCGTTTTCTTAGCATCCTCTTTGACGAAGATGATGATGATGATCGGAATTTTATATACAACATGACAATGAGAAGCCTTCGATGAAAAAAAAATTGATAGTATACACAACAACGAAGAAGAGGAAAAACTATACATCCGTTCTTCATTTTTCGTCTTATTTATTGAATAAAACTCAAGTATAGACAATCAATATGACATGACGCATTTTATTTTATATCAGTCTAGGCTTCTTTCAAGCGAGAAATACTATGTACATAGCAACCTAATAACATATCACTTCGTTTATTTAACCGGTGATCTGGCTCTCGTATTTGAAAGAGAATATAATTAAGGAATGCAAATAATCATAATAGCTTGCAGCTCATAGAAATCCCCTACGATAGCAAAAATTAAGCATCTAAAACAGTCTCTGCACTTTTCTATGTTATTCTTGTTCTATCGTGATGAAATTTAAATAAATTTATTTTAACCCGGGTTATTTCCCAACAACGAATGGCCATTATGAGAATACAAAAAAAAAGTATTTGTCTATTGCAAGCCATTGAGTGATGTTGTTGTTTTGACTGAAAACGTACCATTTTTTCTCTGTTTGTATATTTATAGAAGAATTTCGTTCATTGAAAAGTGAAAAAAATCAAATACGTAGAAGAAAAAAACTGATTCCAATTATCGAATAATAATCAAATATTTCGCAATTGACGCGTTCGTCTGTTAAAACATTTGATTATATGATGCTGGCAGGTTCTGTTGATTGTCGTTTTTTTTTTTATTACAGTACCCATGTGTCCTCGCAAAGAACTCAACAGTTGTTGTTGTTGTAATAAAGATTTTTTTCAACGACGCAAAAAATTTCGCGATCAACTTGAAGTCTTTCAATTTAAACGGAAGAAAAAAAATGATCGAGAATGAAAGACATTTTTTTACTTTCTGCGACTATCATTGGATACACAAATTTTTTGTAGATCATTCATTTCCTATTGAATTCATAGAAAAAACCTGGTCAACATTTGATTGATTTCATATATTTTTTGCATGTCTCAGTGTGAAAAACAAACCTGAATATTCGACGCGAAAAAAATGTGAAGTCAAAGAATCCTTATTCATTCTTAATCATGTGAATAGACGTTGTTGTCCTTTATACAAAAATAGAAGAGATCGAGAAACAGAATAAACAGACTAGCAGCATTTGATAAAATGTTAATTTATTAAAAATTTACATCCTCGATTTCATTTTACACAATTAAAAAAAAGAATTGTTTTCGATTCGAATGAAGATTGTTTTTTGCTCTGATCAAATTTACTACATTGTCAGTGATGTATTTGCATTTGTTGGTGATGGCCGTCTAATAGCCCAAAATTGTGGTTGACGATAAGCACTTCCATTCAGTCGAACATTGGTTACTGCACCAAAGCGCAATAATTCTTTGTGATATTTAATAAAGTTATTTAATTTTTTTGTATCACCGAACGGTAGTTGAAGACGAATTAAATGTTCACGAATGTCACTTGCCGACATTCCAGTTTGTAAACACTTGAATATTTCGTCTTTACTTTCATCTGTTATACTTAGAGGAAGACGGTTTTTTGGTATGTGTTGATGTTGACCATGCGAATAAATTGAAATAGTTCCCTCGGGATTGAAAAGTGCATACATCGCAGCAGGACATGGATGGTAATGACGACGCATAGAAAAATTGCATACATAATAGATTTTATATCCACGAGAATTGGCTGATGTTCGCCGCCATGTCCAACGAGAATTAGATTCTGATGCGGATGCTTCAATGAATGCATTTAGTGATTGTTGATCAGGAAGTTTAGTTAAAAATTCATATTGCCGACGTGTTAAACGAGTAGTTTTCGAGCCAGTTTCATCATCGTTTGTACATGGTGAAAGTGATCGATCATCATCTGTCATTAGATATTGATATTTAGTTTTAGTGTTTTCGATATGACTATTAAAATCAATAAGGAGGCGAAAGTGTAGGGGTGTCACCAGAAAAAAATTGTAGGGGGGGGGGTGGTCCGCCCCCTGTTTACGCTCCTACGAAAGTAGCTTGGTAAATGTCTTCAATGCCTTTATATCTCACAGTACTACTGGTTATATTGTGACGTAGCAAAAAGACTAGTCGTCTGTGACAGAGCCGTTTGATGAAGCAACGAAAAAGCCTTTAATGGAGTGTTTACCTTTCTACATCAAAATTTCCACTGTCAAAGAAGCATTGGGGAAATAATTTATTTGGTCTTCTATTAGACGAAGAAAATGCACTTTCGAGTTCGTTTGATGAATGGAATTGAGAATAAAAAAAGAAAAGAATCCAAACAAACCGAGCGACAGTTGTTTACTGGTTAAATCATTCTCTTGTTGTTGATGAGAAAAATTTGTTGATATTGGTGATTCGATCATAAATTGTGCATAGGGCAACTAAAATAAATTAGAAAGAAAAAAACACAAAAATGAGTAATTTTATTCTTCATTGATATTGTTAAGTCCTACTGCAGATGCATTGTTCATTGTGTGATGATAAAAATAATTTTGATGCTCATTTGGAAACACTTGTGCTGGAACAAATGCTGAGCGAATACTTGGGATATTTGATAGAGGAATCTAGGCGGGAAAAAATTTTTAAAAGAACTTGATATAGAAATTATTTACTTGTGATGGAGCATCATAGGGTGGTAAATGCTTTTGAATGTAGGCATTATTGGAAAGAACTGGTCCAGCAAGTATTTCTACTGGTGAAGATTCTTCTTTGATTTCAATAACTTTTTCATTTTTTGAAGAACAACGACGAATTTGATTGAGCCGTTTCGTTTTGTGAAAACTTCGGCGTATTTTTTTAGTTACTTCCTCTGCATCTAGATGTAATGAATGAAGGCGTTGTAAATTATCACAACATCTCAAACAGATTATATGGAATTTATCGCAGAGATTCTTTTCTTTTAAATATTTTCGGCAACATTCAGCATAAGTTATACTTTTATCGTTGTCAATTTGTATCGGTTCGTGAATTGATTTGCCCATTAATAAATAACGATGGCTTTTTAACAGCGAATCACATAGTAAACAACGTTTTCGTTGGGGATTGACATTCACAGGTGATGATTCAACCGTTCGCGTAGCTTTTCGAAAGACTAGAAAAAAGTCGATATAGCTACGGACGACTTGGACATAGAATTATTCACTTACGAATTTGCGACTTCATTGTCTGCTAGGAAAAAAATTCGTTCAAATCTACAAAAGTTCTCACTGAAGGTTACGAATGAATATTAAAGGAATGTCTTTTTTCTACGTTCTTTATGTCCTTACTTTTTTTTTCTCGTTTTCTTCGTTTCACTTTTTGTGAGTACGAAAAGAAAATTTGAAAATTTACTTTGGGCGTTAAGAATAACTATCGGTAGTTTGAGGAGAAAAAGAAAAAGAAACCTTTGTTTTTTTCTCTTTTTTCTCGACACGAATAGGGTGATAACATACGAGGAGATATTTCGCTGTGTTGAAATATAAGGAGAGGGGAATATTGGCGAAATGAGTCAGTGTGTAATTACTTGTACTGTTCTCCTTATATGTGAATAGTACAGTAAATAAACATCAAGTTATTTTTAATTTCTATGGGAGATATGGTTCGGGGAACTACAATGCTTGATGTTTATATCATACGGTAAATAAGCGAGCATGTCACGTGCCTAACAACTAGTGAGCGTGAAACGAAAGAAAAAACGATTTTCAAGTTAGAACTATTTGTTGTGGATCAAACCCAATGGAGCATACGAAGCGTGCTTGTCACGTACACAAATCTGCGAGAAATTTATCTTGATTGTACAGAATGTTCTTGCGGCCTTGGTTCGTATCAGTTCTGTGATATATGTTTTACATATACGTATATTCATATTTTTATTTGAAAATGAGATTATTAAAAAAAACAAAAGTTTAATTCATTATTCAGACAAGAATACTGTCTCGTCAAACTAATTAGTATATATTTCGATCAATATATCGACGCTGTTAAATTAAGCAAAATAACCAGTTATATAAAAAGGACATTCGAAAACAGTGGTATGAGTATTCCATAGCCATCAGGATTCGACAGAGACGAGCCCGTTGAAATTTTTGAGAAATCGGTTTTGTTAACCCTATTTCTAGTCATAAAAACTAAGATGTTACATGTTTTCTGGCAGAATGCGTAAAATAAAGTGTTCAAAACATGTTATTTTAATTATTTCTTCTACGATTCTCTTTAAAAAAGATCCATCATGATGAGTATCTTTTACATGTGCTCTTAAACTGTTTTATATTTGCAGTCGTTTTTTTCGAAAATCTTTCGCATGTGTCAGTCTGTTAGGCTCTAGACTAGCAGCGAGACGATATGATCATAGAACGGAAAAAAATAATGACCCCCCTTAGTGGAATTCAAGTTACACATTCTGTGTTATCCGGGCAGATGTACTACTACCGTTATAATTGAAAGTAGCAATCAATCCCCGTTTAGAATTGTAGGGGAACACTACAACGCTAACACAATCAATACATACGAAAGATTTTCGAAAAAAAAAATGCAGCTAATGACAGAAACTAACTACGTTCAAAAATTTACTTTCAATGAAAAAATACAGCAATGATCTTATAGAATCTTGTCGGAGAAAATTTCGAAAGTTCTCGTATCCAACAGTAATTTTGAAAAAAACTGTCGGCTCATGGAGCCGTGTGAACTGGTATATACTTTCGAAAAAGTAGTGACTAGTTTACAATTCTACCCTCACATTTACAGCAATACTAATATAGCCACTCACAGTCTACTGATAATTGCTGAAGAAAAAAAAAACGAATACCATGGCGAGACTTGCCAGTGCCTTATCCACTGAGGAACCGGATAGTCAAAAGTACGGATGATCATCAGACAGTACAGTAAACAACAACTAGACATACTTCATGTATGACCGCTGAATGTATCATTAAAAAAACCTCAATTAAATAGCTATTTTATTGAGTAAATATTTGTTCTTTTTCCCTAATTGTCCTCATTTTTTGTTTTTCATCTATCAATAGTTTTTTCTTACCTACATGAGTTGATTTGCTCAATACTAATTAATATTTACATAGGAATGATATATTTGCAAGTGTTTTAGGTAATTTCGGCGATAAAAATTTTTTCTGCTCTAATTTTATCCTGCTGTGGGAGTTTACTAAAAAAATCAAGTTGTTGACACTAAAAAGATTTTCTAAGGTTTTCTGTCTCCTCAAATGATTAATGAAAATAAATTGAATATTCTATATTACTTGATGATATTTCTGATTATACTCGAGATAGCCCGACTAAAAGGTATGAATACGTTTTTTTCGCCAGGCTATAGTTAATTCCAATGAAAATATGTATTGGTTTGGTTTAGTTTGATTGAAAAATTTTGATCATTACTTATATTAATCGTGATTGTAAAAAGAACGATTTGTATTATGTATCTTGTCCTTCGTGATTATACGAGAAATAATTTTTCCTATGAATCATTTGTACTTTTTGTATAGGTAGATGGTCTTTTTGATGCACCCAATGAAATATTTGAATTGATTTTTTGCCCATACCGTTTCTAAAATTCGGCTAATAAGTTTTGTGCTTTTTACTCCATTATCAAAAATTTTCGAAGTAAAAACAATGAAAATTTATTCGTAATGTTAGCAACTAACGATATTTATCAGATAAAAGAAATCGAATCATCAGTACAGATTATAAAATGTATGTTTTTTTCCTTCGCTTTCGACACATGACGAAAACGAAAGCGAGCATATACCTAATCATCACTCAGCATTACATAAAAAACAAATGTCGACCTAATCAAGGTTTTATATAAATTATACCAGCCTCGAAAACCTTGATAAATCGTCACAATAATTAATGTCTAAAAGAAAGTCAACGGAACAAAGTTTAACCTCAAAATTTTAGATTTATTTGATAAGAAGAATTCTATATTGTATTCAGGATGAATATGGCTGTTAATAGAAAGTAAAATGAAACGGAAGAATTCATCTGCCATTTTTTATTAATTTTTTGCTTCGATAGAAATTCTTCGATTGTATTACATCGCAATTATCTGTTAAATTTCTCATTTGAATTTTATCGAAATTAAAGGTAATTATTGTATTGTGGTGGATACAGTATTTTATGCAAATGATGATGGTTTCTAAGCAATCTTTTTTTTAGGCAGTGTTACTACCGACCAATGATTTTGCGACACTCAATATCAAGGCCATGATTTTATTTAGAAAATCCATCGCCAATAAACTTAATTTTCCATCTCATTCATTGAATATTTAGCTGAACCTCAAGATTTTCAAAATACGAGTGTTTTTTAATAAAAATAATGACTGTTTGACTCGATAATTTTGAATCAGGAGAGAGCATAATCAAGCATTTAACCTGCAGTGACCTTACGATGTCGAATTCATCTTCTGGCAATGATATGTATTCGCCGAAGACATGGAAATTTTCTTATAATTTCACGACGATAATCTTTTCATTGGAATGATGGTTTCCATAGATTGTCGAATTCACTTGTTGTTCTTAGCGTCGATAACATTTGCCAGTAGTATCTTTTTGTTTTGTATTTATTTTGATGAGTACATCATTGTTTCTATTTTCTAGATGTTCTCGCGTATTTTCTATAATTCACTTTTTGTTGTCTCTTTGCATTTTTATTTATTTTATTCATTTTCTGTTCTATGCTCTATTGCACATCGATGAGCTTTGCTTTGGGCACTAATCAAAAAATATACATGAGTCGTCTTTCAAATGACCTCAATAGAATCCAGTAGTACCTAAAACCTATATTTAAGACTCATGTTAATAATTAGTGAGAAAAACGAAACCACAAGAAAGATTAAATATTTTGTTGTTTTTAAAGAGTTAAAGAAGTTTTCTCCCAGCTGAATTGATGTCTAAAACATGTTCTCATTCATAGAAAACAGGAAAAGGAAATAATTTAGTATTATTAAATGAAATGTAGCAAGAATAAAACAGTATGACAATCATGAAGAGAACTCCGAGAAAACGGACATAATCAAGGAAAAAAAGCAAAAAAATCGTTCTGTCGTTGCACTTTCCGTTTGTGATAAAATTATTCTCAGTCTCACAAAAGCATCAAGACAAATATAAAGCTCAAGTACAAAAAAAAGAAGAAGAAGAAGAAGAAGAAGAAAGCTCACCGATGTCAGCGGATTTACCACCAATACCACCAATACCACCAATAAAGCAATTGCATTTTGCTCCTTTACATCGTACGGTCGAATTAGAAAATATTCATGAACAAGTTACGCAAAATGATTTAAATAAAAAAGAAGAAAAACAAGTACCGACAGCTCGCAAAACACTTAAGAAATGTATGACTGTTATTGGCGATGGTAACGATGTTGATACGAATTCAATGTATACACAATGAGATTTTCTTTAAAGACAATTTCATTTTATTCTATATTTATCATTATTTCTTTGAAAATATTCAAAAATAAAATCTATTTTACAAATAGTTTATTATCTATTTGGTGAGTTTCAATTAGGAGAGCTAAAAATTTTTATTTTTGCATCGAAAATAAGTTTATTTGATGCGTCCCATCAAGGATTTTTTCTATTTCATAGCTCGCCAGAGGAGCCTTACGTACGAAAAATGATCTAATTGGACTCCTCTTTTTATTATTCAAGACGATATAACTGAATGAGCCAATAATTCGGCGTTAAATTATAAAGTCATGTATGCAACTTTCACTCAGTGATCCGTAGTACATTTCTGGCGATTATTGGTCTCAGGTCATACAGTGCTATTGAGTAATTTTTCTAGGGAAGACATCGCACTACTGAATGTTGCTGTGAAACAACAAATCATACCGCACGCTAGCTAAAAAGGAGGAGTATTTTATTCTACTTCCTGTTTTATACTTTTTTTTGTAAAAATGCTACTTAGAATATATAACATCCCGTCTTTAGCTTGATAAATATTGATGTTAATTGAGTGCTAGAAAATTTTTCTGTGAGTATTTATTTTTTCAAAACCATATGAAACGGACCAAATTGCGCAATATGAATGAGCTAATAACTAGCTATGTTTGTATACCACATCTTAACATTGAAGCCAACTCAATTCATAAATCTATAGACAAATAATTAATATTTGAAACGTTTGCGTTCTGAAAGTCATATGAGATCAATACAATAGAGAGAGAGAGAGAGTTTTACACTGAATGACTCTTTATTTCCCATAGTTCATTTAATCGATACGTATTTTCTAGAATAGATTAATTGAAAAAAATCCTTATAATGGCGTTTGCAACCTTATACAATCAACTATTTACAATTCGGCTTGTCTTTCATAGTCGCATAAATAGTTCTACGCATTTTTATCGTAGCGCAGATAATCTTATCTATCTAAACGATAAAGATCATGTCGGTTGGTTTTTCTTTGAAGTACTTAAATGAACTGTTAATAAACAATGATCTTGCTTGAATGAGCAAAGTCTATCGTCCTAGAAAATGAAACGAGTCGGATTATTTCATAATTTAATGAATATGGTTATATATATACAAAAAAGCATATTTCACAGAAATTTAGAAGAAGAAAAAAAGCACTTTATAAACAACGTAATGAGATTCGTGATGTGGATGGTGATTTACGACGAGTTGTTTCAGTTGAATTCCGTTTCAAATGTCGTCGTAAACTTTTCTTCAATGGATCAGTCAAACGAATAAGCATATAAGCAAGTAGTACAAATGAAAACGACACAAATAGCCGTCCAGTTCGATATGTTACAATTACAAAATGGCCACTAGCCATAAACATCACTAGAAAAATAGCTGATGGTAAACCAAGAAGAATAAGAACATCTAACATAATAAGAAGTCGTCTTATCACGAGTAAATCTCTTCTATTTTGTTTCAAATGTCGACATTCATTATAGCTGGCGGTTGACGATGAAGATGAATTTGATTTTTGCAAATATTTTAATAAAAACACATAGATCACCGAAATAAATAAAAGTGGCAGTAGGAAACGTCGAATAGCTATGCAAACTATTGCTGAAGCATTTGTGAATGATGTTTGACAATAATATTCTGACGATAGATAAATAACATCACCGCGCAAAAGAAAAACAGGAGAAATATTCACAACACGAAACAGTGTTTCTATAGGCACCTTAAGAGAATAAACAGGAAAACTATACAAATTTTTACGACGATAAAACACAACTCGACATAGACGATATGTAGCTTGTACAATGTAGGAATCATAAAGAGCGCAAAGAAATCCATGAATACAAAAGCCTCGCAAAACACACCAGCATGTATTTCCATGTTGTTCAAGAACAATGTTCATGCAGCGGCATAAACTCGCCGTAGCCATACTTGCTAACATAGATGCAGAAATAAGTAAAGTTGAACATGTATGACCAGTGAGTAGAACTAGTACTGAACGAGATCGCCGATGGTAAACTATAATTAAGGAGAGAGCAAATATGAAAATAAGAATTGTTACAATTGAATTAATCAATGTCAGAAGATTTAAAACAATGTTCATAATAATCCAAATGCTCATTGTAGACAACTGTGTATGCTGGTAACATATGCACACTGTAGCGTTCTATGTTAAATTAGAGTACATCATGACATTTTGCAATATCCTTTCAATTTTTCATGTACAAGACAGAAATATATTTTTATATTAAGATATTTTAATTAAAATAGATTCGATGGCGTAATGAATTAATAAAGAAAAAAAGTAGTTATGCCTTGAAAGAAAAATGTTCTGTATATATTGAATATTAAATTAATATTGAGAAATTATTTTTAGCATCGAAACTCATTTAGATGCTGTGGCAAATATTTAGTTATAAATACAAATATGTAAGTCTATAATAGACAGAACTATATAAAAAATGTTCCAAATTGATCAAAACCTTTCTTACATTTACATTAGAAAATGTCGAGATTAAGATCACTAATGTGACTTTTTGTTGCCATGGATAAGAGATAAAAATTAGACAACGTCTAGAATCTTTCCGAATACAGTTCAAGTCTATCAATTTTACTACGACTCAGGATACAAAGCAATTAGATAGGTAGATTCAAGCCTTTCCAATCCGGACATATCCTAACAACAAGCTAGAGAGAGTTATCAGTCTCCTACGAACTTTAACTCTAGACACCATCAACTATATGTCTTGTCTTACGAAGAGAAAAAAGAATCATAATAAAAATTCATCGGTTTCAAAGGAAAGATATGAAGCCAATTTTCTCAGATTCCTGCGTTATTAACGTTTCACCGTAGGCTACAAAAATTTCTATGGCGTAATTATCTTATTTCTTTCTATATCACCTTGTCCAGTTTGTCTATTGTATTACCAATATTGCTCTTTTTTTGCTTCAAATCATTTATATGCATTTCAAGATCAGGCAAACTCCATTTGCATAGCTGCTACTAAGTACGCCTATCCACCATCTACAATATTAATGATTTACCTTATTTTTTGTTTGTAGTACAAGCGATAAAACTATTCTAACTAAGTAACATTGGTTGGCGGCCGCGAATCGCGACCCGTGACTGCTTCTAATCTGAATCTCACATCTGGAGAATTAATAAGAAGTTTCAAAACATACCTCTGTCTATCTGTAGCCTTTTAATTTCTGGAAATCTCTAACGGAAAAAAGCGTGAATTTTGTAGTGACGTGCGCCAAAAACAATAGTTTGGATTTTCATAATTACTAGACAGGTGTTAAAAATAGAGAATCTCCGATTCTCTCAGAAGATTACAAAGACATTTCTCCAAATAAAAATGATTTAAAGCGTCGAAAAAATAAGTCAGACTAAGCAACATGTCCGTTGTATAACATGAATGTCGATTTAATCGAAATATAGAGATGACGGTTTAATAAAGAAAAAGCATTGTGTTCTTTCTCTATGCTGGATCAACCTTAAATTGGCAAATAAATGTTGTCTCAACAAAGTCAAAACAATACCTTATGAATGTTTTTGTTAGCATTATACTGCAGATTTGATAACATGATAAGGCTAAACATAAAATTTGAATCTGCTTGTTCGATAGAATCAATATAACCGATGATCAATAGCCAAAGTCAAAATTATCTACGTTTAGTTTTTTTCTCGAAATTTCATAATGTCTCATTCGGCACAGTTGGTCTTGATGAAAAACATATTTTACGAATCATCAACCAGAGATGAGAATTCGGTTCATGCCGTAGCTAGTTTCAGGACAACGAAGAAATAGTCCAGCATATTTCTACTATCATATTGATTTTAACGAAATTATAGCCGATGTGAATATTGTGCTTTAGATTTACCCTAGTTTTGTGGATTTAAAAAACAAACTACTATGCTGTTTTATTGGTATATAAAAACAAACACGTACAAGAGAAAATGTTAATATTTCGCAGTGATGCCTGTTTCAGGACCTGGTTTTTTAGCTGTCTCAGCTTCAATGCCCATAACTTCGATTGCTGCAATATGTGGTGGTCTTGCTGGTGCTTTACTTTTCGAACGAGAAACTTCTTGTATGGCTAATAAACTGTGATGTTTAAACAGAATTTTTGCGGTTTCTGGTTTGATGGTGTACATATCTATGAAGCGATCGATAGAGTATTCTTCTGGGGCGTCACGATGTTTTTGAAGATAGGCAAGAAATTGACGTAATGAAATTCGACCGGGTGGAACACGTTGTGGTTCAACATAACCGAAAGCAGCATCAGCACTGTTCGTCTCCATTGATTCTTCAACACGATTTAATAATGGAGGAATTGTTGGATGACTACTTGTGTCACCTAATCGACGTATAGTTGGATTAGTACCAGTCGAAGAAACTTTAACATTTCGTAAAAATCCCAATAATTTGTTATCTTTGTCATGTATGGTTTCCGGTGCGGTGTTAGCTGAAAAATAAGAACTGAGTTAATTGATCGAATTTATGAATAAATATTTATCAATACTTTCAGCATTTTTTGATTGCGATTGTTGCAAATCTGTTGGATATCGAGGAGCAGGATCTGGTTTTTCTCTTGAAAGAACTCGTTCAACACGATTGTCAATATTATACATACGGAAAACTCGTGTTGCACGATTCAATGCACCACCCATTATATTTTTAATTTCTAAAATAAAAAATATCGTTGTCACTCTGATTTATATTGAGATTTTGTAAAGTTAACAAGTAAAATTCAAATATCTTTCAATTAATAAAAAACAATATTTTGTTTAAAATAAGAGAACTCTTTAACTATCGATTATTCGAGATAGTTGTATCTGTAAAATACATATTAATATCGATTTCTTAAAGAAAACATACGCAAAGACCTCGAATGGGACATATGTAGCAAGAATTTTGTCTGGCTTGCTTTGAACATTTTTGATTGGTTCGCATTGCACCCTATGGTGGCTGATGTAGATGTCGAAGGAAAAACTTATTGAGAAAACCAAAATTTTATAATTGAGAAGTATTTCCTAAGACTTTAGAATTAGTTAGCGCATAAAAAATTTCTATATAGAATATAATTGGTGTATCAACTACGCAATCGCATTATTTTGTTTATTTTGTTATTGCATTTGTATGTTGTTATTGCTTTTGTTTCTTTCCTTATAGGGATCCTTGTGTGTGTCTTGCCGCAGTCAATCAATTGCAGAGCAAAAATAGCTAATGACAGTTAATCGAAGGAAGGAGAAATGGCAACACGACAAAATCATGAGCAAAAATGAGGGCAGTGTTTTACGCTCAAATGAATTTTCAGGAGTCTGAAAGATTATCTAAGATCAGATGAAATTTATTCTCTTTCAGATGGTTTCCACGGATGAATCTGCTTTATATCGTCTAAAAAACTTAAACAATGGAAATATAATATCTGTATTCAAAGATCAATTCAAAGTTGGACGTACTACAAGTAAATAAAACGAATAATTACTCTTCTTAAGATAAGATAGTAAACATTATTACATTATCCGGCTTTTTTTTGTGTGATTGAAGATAACGCACATAGGTAAAATTCACATTGTCATTGTCCTTGAATAGAAACCTTGTTTTTGCAATTATTGGCTGAAAAGACTTTGCCCAGAGAATATATCCAGATAATTTCATTTCTACTAGCTCCTGAAAACATCATCATTTTTGATTCCCTCTTGAAACCATCTCTACTAAAATAGTGTTTCGAACAAGATTTCGAACTAGAAATAAGTTTCAATAACATGCAACATTCTATCTATAAGCAAAATTCATTAAGAACATCTGGGAAGATTCTCTCTAAAACTTTCTTATCCAACTTTAGCAAGCATAAACTATTGATTCATGAACTATGTCGAACAACACCCGGATTGTCTTTTCTTTTTGATTAGTCATATATCGTGCTTACCTTGATGAAAAAGAATGTTTATCCTTGTCAAACAACATATACCAGTGATGTAGGAATACCCGTCGATCGTGATTTCAAAAGTCAAATTTCAACGAAAAGAAAATTTGAGCTATTATATTCGTTTTTTTTTTAAATAATATTTAGCTAATGATTTATCCATTGCAAATAATCCTTATATATCTTCATCTCATTGCACATTTGAATATGATAATGGCCATTTGTACATACGAGATACGAGTTCGAATGGTACATTAATTAATCGAACACATAAAATAAGTAAAAATGATACCGTAAGTGAACGATATGGAAAAATAATGAAAATTTTGACTGATATTTTAGCGTGTGGAACTTCATTGCGGCGATATCGTGCATATAGTTTTTCGACAAAATGAACCTGAATCAAGTATATTTACTTATAAGAATAAAAACGAAGCACATCGGATTATTTGTAGATGTTATTTTTCAAGTTGAACTGCCACAATCAGATACAATCGAAGACGTATCTCCATTTGATGAAGGTTTAAAATAAATTTACTCTTGTATTAAAATACTTTTGTTCTTTAGATACACAAACAGCTTCATATCCAACGATTCCACATCTATCACCTATCCGTTAGTTATATTGAAATTCTTTATTGAAATGTTTTTTTTTTCTTATAGGAACTCAGGAAAATGTTGATTTATCTAGTCTAATGAATACAAGTAGAGATGTTGAAGTAAAATCAAAAGAAGAACCACGAAAAGAATTTGCCATGGACGCCGGCGACGACATGGAAGATGTATTGACATGTGTATGTTGTCAAGATATTATGTCTAATCCAATAACTCTCGAGCCTTGTTTACATGCATTTTGCAATGATTGTTATGCTTCATGGGAAGCTGTTCAACGAACATGGTAAGACTATACTGAAATAAAAACTAAAACTCATTGCCAACGTCGAGTATTTATTAGTTCTATCTTTAAACTACGGTTAGAAATTTAATTTCGAGTAGAACACTAAAAACAATCGATTGCTGTTCACTGTGTCTGACAGTCACACCTTGCCAGAGGCGTGAACTCTAAATAGATTAAACACTTTGAACTAAAATAGTTATCAAGAAAATTGAAATTCTGATTCGAGCTGATTGATTATTATATGTTTTTATTTTAGTCCAAAATGTCGTGTTAAAGTTGTTGGCAAGAAAAAAAATGTTGTAATTAACGGAATCTTAGCAGCTTATCTTAAAGCATATCCACATAAACGACCTGCACCAAAAGAATCTGATGACGATATGAATGAATCAAAAAAAACCAAATATGAAGTTGGTTCAGAAACTTTGAAGAAACTAATTAATTCTTGTTTTCATAAAGGTCGGTACTGATGGAATGTATCTACATAATACGCAGTACGAAAATGACGATGAATATAATGATGATGATCATGATAATGATGATGATGATGGTGATGATGGTGATGACGACGACGATGATGATGATGACGACGATGAGGAAGAGGATGGGGCTCCTCATTATTTATTGTGAGTTTCACTTTCGTAAAAGAACTATTTGAATAGTATATTATAAATAGGAATCCATTCGGTCATCCTCCTCCTGTTCCTAATGTCAGATTTGCTTGTCGACAATGTCCGGCAATAGGTAGGCTTCGTATATTTTATCAAGTGTTGATCTTTTCGTTTTTACAGCCGGTGCAGCTGCTATTCCAACTAATTTCCAATGTCTACCAAATCAAAATCATATTCTATGCCAATGTTGTATACAACCAATGCCAGATCGACGCGATGAAGCAGATATTCATCAGCATTGTAAATAGTTTGCGTTCATTGGCTTTTTTGTAACTCTTATTTATTAGGTGAAATATGCAAACAATTTTTTTGCAACATCTATTTTCAAAAATGCCAACGAGCTGGATGCCTTGGTTGTTTAAATCGCTTAAGGGGTATATTCATGATGATGGTTGCTTTTATTTTATGGAAATATTTTATTCATAGATTTCAATTTTGCACCTCGTCATCTTAATAATTTCGTTAATGAAAATCCTATTGAATCACAAATTGTTCAAGTAAGTGTTAATTAAATCCGCATGAACGAGAATTCCTATTATATTGGCTATAAAAGTCAAATTTATAGTTCGTTGAATAATTTCAATGTGTCACTCAGAAATACAACATTTTTAGAAAAGATCCTAAGAGTATTTTGCAATTGTCATTTGGAAGGCGTTAAGAGAAAATTTTTTAATCAATTTATGTTTATTGCGAAACTTTGCTTTAGGATTATCTTACAACCAATCATAAGACTATGCGCGATTTACTTACTGATTGTTGTGACTGTCTTGATCGAAATGAATTTACTTGCCCCGGTATTGATCGTAATGCTGCTAGTATGTTTTCATTTTCATCAAAACATCTTTTATGTTGATTGTAAATTTAACTTGTTTAGTTCCTTCGTCGAAAATTGTTTGTTATAAATGTGGTTTGAAAATGTTTAAAGAGTTAGCGTATCAATTTCGTGTTCGTATGAAACAGGAGGATATATTTCCCGTAATGTTACGAAATCGAGATAATTGTTATTATGGTAGAAAATGTCGTACTCAATATACAAAAGGAACTCATGCACACCGACTAAATCATGCTTGTGAACAAACTAAATTTTAAAGCCGATTGTTTCTTTTTATTATAACAATTTTCTTTTTTTGGCATTAAAGACGCATTTTTAAAAAAATTTGAAGTAACCGTGAGCATGAACAGATTCGAAATTTTCTTTTTTGTTTTTACAGATGTTAACGGTACCTTCAAGTGTAGAAGTACCAGTATTTTATCCTACGTATGATGAATTTAAAGATTTTTCAGCTTTTATTGCTTCTATTGAAGCACGTGGTGCGCATAAAATTGGCTTAGCAAAAATCGTTCCACCAAAGGAATGGACGCCACGTAAAATGGGTTACAAAAGCAAACAAATCGATGAAAAATTAGTAGAAAATCCAATAAAACAAGAAGTTCGGGGAAAAGATGGAATTTATTCTGTATTCAATATTCAACAACGATCAATAAAATTAAGTTCATTTAAAAGATTAGCATCGTCCAGTCGATATGCAGCATCGTCAGCGATCTCGAATGACCTAGAAAAACTAGAGAAAAAATATTGGCAAAGTTTAACATCGAACGCACCGATCTATGGAGCCGGTAGGTTTAGTATACTTTTAGAGCAAAAATATTCCTAGCACGTGTAAAATTTGATACCATTTCAAAAAAATCAGATCAACTGATAGCCAGTATAGCTTTCCTATTGAGTATAGTATCTCATGGGACTCATATCGGATAAAAATCGTTACTAGATATTATTTGCTATACATGCGAAATGTATCAGACAGAACTCTTATTAACATTTGCATTTAAACTCGATAGTTTCGAGTATAGGCAAAAACCTATAGAAATCAGATGATGTACTGTTGACGAAAGTGTTTATTTGTTAGATCGTCTTTATGCAATAAAATAAAAAATTTATTCCGTGACGGAGGTATTGAGATGACATCTGAGAAGGGGAGATAGTTTTTACGAGTACAATATCTCGAAGGAGACTCAAAAGAAGTTCTATCTGTACATAAGTCTCAATTCGTAGAAATTTCGATGAATGTATTTTCTTTTAATTTAGACGTCAGTGGTTCATTTTATGATGAGAGCCAAAGCATTTGGAATGTAAATAATTTGGGCACCATTCTTGATGATCTCGTTACTGAATGTGGAACGAAAATTCAAGGTGTGAATACAGCTTATTTATATTTTGGTATGTGGAAAGCAAGTTTTGCTTGGCATACTGAAGATATGGAACTCTATTCGGTTAATTATCTCCATTTCGGTGCACCGAAACAATGGTAAATATATGAATAGATCAACTTTCTCTCTCTCTCTCTCTCTCTCTCACAATACACTTAGGTATCATTTAGAAATTTAAAAAAAAAATTGGTGAGAACATTCACGTTCTAGTTTTTTTTGCAATAATGTTTTTTTCTTTTGCAATGATTTTAACATAGATCATAAATATCGACTAATATTTTCGTTTAGGTACGTGATTCCACCATCGTATGGTAGAAAATTCGAACAATTTGCTGCATCTCGTTTTCCTCAATTGGCACGTCGATGTCCAGCATTTCTTCGTCATAAAATGACAGTCATATCACCAACAATATTGACACAACAATCGATTCCATACAGTAAAATAACACAATATGAAGGCGAATTTATAATTACATTTCCTTACGGTTATCATGCTGGATTTAATTATGGTTTCAATTGTGCTGAATCAACAAATTTCGCTTTAGAACGTTGGATTGAATATGGAAAACATTCAGTAAGATGTGCGTGCCGCGATGATATGGTTACGATCAGTATGGATGTATTTGTACATAAATATCAACCAGAACTATATGAAGATTGGTGTCGAGGAATTAATTTAACGCCACATCCTGAAGATAAGCCATCGTCAAGAATAAATAAAAATAAATTTTTGGCGAAAAAACATTTATTAATGAATAAGAATCCTAGTAAAAGTACGTTGCATGAAAACTACAATTTCGAAAGTCTTGTTTACATCTTATTGTGAAGTTTTCTAAACCAAACAAATGAGAGAATGTTTTCAATTGCCGAAGATTCTTTTCATGAGGTAGAGTCCAGTGCGGTATAAAAAATCACCTTAGGTCTTCCGCCTGAAGTTATAGACATTTTACTAGAATTTCGAACGGTATATATAAAAAAAATCGAACTGCGACGTTTCTACTCGATGCAAAATACAGAAAATTCTTTTGGAATAGAAGTGATCCGTGAGACTTGAATATGTCCCATCGAAGTTCAAGGAAAATGTCTATAACTCTAGAAAGAAAACCTCAGAGGACCTGTTATTTAGCTATTTTTCATATCTCACTGAAGTCTATCTTAAGAGGAAAAGTCGAAATCTAAACCCCTTGAACAATTGAATGCATTCGCTCGTAAGTTGCAGACTATAGTATTCTATTGATTTTTCAGTCACTCAAGATGTGTCAAGAAATTTACTTTATCTACAGATTTCAAAATAATTTTAAATCTATTCTTTTCTTTAGCAACTTGTGTCGAATCCTCAAGAACTGTCGAACAGCATCAATATCATAAACGTATATCCGACGAACGATATGTTTGTATATTTCTTAATTTAGCAAAATTTGACAAGCAAAACCAACAATCGACTAGTCAACATCCAGTTCCGTTGATTCGAGCTGCATTGTGTCGTGCAAAATTTCAAACGAATAAAAATCCGATAAAAAATTCTCATAAACTTCTATGTTTAACAGCTAATTTAGTGTCAAATCTTCCCTCGAATGTTTCAATATTTTTTAATGGCCTAAAACAGGCAGGCAACTATCGAGAAGATATTCTCGATGGTCTTTGGAATTATCAATGTTTAAATATTAAATCTGAACAACTATTTAATCGATGGTTATGTAATCAATCCTCACATTGCTCAATATGCTATTTTTTTATTGCCAATAAATCCAATACGACTGACTCAAATCAATCAGCATCATCAATTCGTTGTTTATTAAAATCAGAAGTATTTTATAATCCATCTGATAATTCTAATGAACTACTTCGATGTTCAATGTGTCATATAAGTGTACATCGAGAATGCTATGAAAGCGTATGTCTTGCGATCAATGCAGATATTAATGATGAATATGATCCATGGTTATGTCAACACTGTATTTTGAAAAAACAGGTAAATAGAATTCTTCTTAATTTCATCTTGCATTTTAGTTGAGAATAAACTAGGTGACTTGTTACAAATTTTAAAATACCTGACAAGTGATAATCGTTGTTTTGATAGATATTTTCGATTTCAAAAGTAGTTTTCGTTCGTACATGCCTGAGATCAAATAGTGCAAGAATATTAATTATGAAGAACACTGGTTTGATATTCTATTCGGGTGACGCTAGTGGAGTTTGCCGACACACAGAAACATGCATGACTCGTTGAGAGTTCGGATTTGAGATTATGTTTGATCGTCAGAACTAGCAACTCCAATGTAAAGTCACACGGTGTGCGAGATAGAAACAGGCCTGGGAAATATTTTATGAAGAGATAGAATTTAGTCGAGTATATATTTCCGATGTACTCTAACATTCAATGTTCATAAATAATCGTATATTGCAAATGTTTTCTTCTTTGCTATTAAACTCTGCGAATAAAATCCGATCTAAAATATTGCTGTTTTGTTTTAAGAGTTCGAAAACAATTGATGATCGTTGTTCAGCTTGTTTAATTCGTGGTGGTCTTCTGCTGCATCCAAATTTATCTCCGTCTTTTATTCATGCCATCTGTTCAATATATCAAGCATATCAATTATCATGCCAGTCAAATTTGTGCCATTATTGTTCATCATTTTGTCCATTAAGTTATCGTCGTCTATCAACTCATAGTTTTGCCTCTTGTAATCACTATCAATGTAAAAATACATTTCATATTACATGTGGTCTAATCAGCGGATGTACATTTCAATATGATCAAGATTATTCAATTATTGACGCTCGATGTCATTTGCATCCACTTACTTCTATATCAAGTCCATCACCAGCCAACGATGAAATGGATGATAAAACAATAAAATATCCTCACAATCTAATAGATGAAAAACAAAATTATGATGGTGACATAGTTGAAGAAAAGAAGCGTGTACCTTCAGGTACTAGAGTACTAATTAATGAATCAAAGGGACAAAAACTTGGTCAAGTTATACGCAATGAAATAAGTTATCACTATTCAGTTGACTTCGGTGATGATACTTACAGTCACGATATGTAAGTAGATTTATATACTATTTATCGTAGAACTAAAATAGATGCGACTAAAAAAGTGGGTAATGAAATTTTCAAAATCGCATTAAGAAAATTAGTTTACGGAATCGGTCAAGATCGAATTTCATTTGTTTGTGATAATAGTATGTGCCAATATAACAGCTATTGTTAAGAGTTTACTGGACTGAGCTGATTTTAATCGTACTTGTATCAAAAGAGCGTTTCGAACAATAATCAATTTCATACGCGAGCAAGACTAACTGATGTTAGAATTAAACGAGCTAATAAGAATTGTTTACACTCATATTGTAAATAAATTTTGAATCTTCCGAATCAGTTTTATTTTGATTAAATCGTATAAAAATTATTTTTTACTTCTAATTTTATAAGGCTTGCTGAAGATATACTTGATGCTGATCCATCGAAATTGGTGATCGGTTCAAATATACGTATTCGATGGACAGATGGTACAATATACACATGCAAATATTTGGGTTGTCAACGAGTACTTTTGTATCATATTAAAATTGATAATGAAACACGACAAATGCAGCGAAGTGAATTTTCACTTGATATACAATTACCATCGCCGCCATTTACACCTTCTACAAATGAGCATGAAATTGATTTTAATCGGTCGTCTTCGTTGAAGACAACAACAAAACGACAAAATCAACAGCAAAAACAGCAAATAAAACGAAAACGACGATGTCTTCTAATATCATCATCTTCTTCTTCATCTGACGAATCTTAGAGTTGTGTGTTACTTTTTTGCTTTGTATTTTGTATATAATCTATTTTTCGTTAGTTTTGGTCAGACTTCTCCGTTCATATTCAATGTGTATATACAAAAACAAATATATATATTTCAGCATACAAATGCTCTCATTGTATTTGTTGTCTGATCCCGGTGGTATATATGTCGTTGTAGTTTTATTATATTCGAATTACTTTTTCTGTAAAAATCTAGCGTTTATCATATTGTATTTCACCTTTTTTTTTAATTATCTAGAAAAAAAGGAATATTACTTAAAAACAAACAAGTGAAACTAGAAGTTTGTTTGTGAATCGTTAATCGGAACAAGACTGTGGAGGTTGTTAAAAACTTTGATTTAATTACGCACTTACGCTTAATTACTTCCTTTCATTGAGCTGAATTTTTCTTTTCATCTTCCACACAAGCTCAATAGTTCAAGCCGAGAAACTATTCACAAAAATTGTTATGTATTGTGTACTTCAACAAAAAGCTTTTCATCTAATATATGTTTCTAAAATCATCAAGATCAATGATAATCGGATCAATTTTGCCCCTAATCATATGTATTACGTAATCATTCATAAACAAGATTCTGATTATTACTGCTGTTAAGAAAAAATAAAACATGTGGGTTCTTTATTCAAAAACAAATGATTGATATTGAGAAAAGAACCACAGACAAGTATAAAGAAAAGCTTGTAAATTATTTGAAGACGAAATAATTCTTTTTTGACTCTTTTGTTATTGTCTCACTTTCCTTCAAATAAAAACAAAATGGCATTCATTCATTTTACAGGAGAATTCAACTTACTTTGAATGATTTCTTCAATCCCAGGTCGAACAGTCCGGCCTGGAAACGACCGGTTCCGGGTAGTTCCGTTGATTTTGTGGAAGCAGTATTCCGGTTGGAAATGTTTCTCATTTTTTCCGGTGATTTCCGATCAATTCCTGCCGGAAAGTACACTCTAAAAAAAATAGGTTTTTCACAGAACCTAAAAAGGTTCTTATCCTCGGTACACCGTCAGATCCTTTATTGGTTATGTAAAAGTGAGGTTTCGTATCAACCTCCTTCACGAAAATTCAAAAAAAGGGTTTCGTAGCAATGGTTTCGTACAAAACCTTTTGGAAATCATTCAAAAAAAGGTTTCGTACCTGACAAAGGTTCCGTTAAAAATATCATTTAACCTTCTGCTGCCGCTCGCGGTATGCACACTATTCGAGTTTTACTCAAAACCCGAGTATGGTATACATCAAAT